TTCGGCCATAGAGAGGTGTGTATATAGGTACAGTACTCTGAAAATTTCAGCTCTAAAGAAGGCTTCCTTCTCAAGATATTAAAACTCGAAAAAATCACCCATTTCTAAGAAAATATGGTAAAATTGTTCATTTTTTCCTGATTTGATATCTTGAGAAGGAAACCTTCTTTAGAGCTGAAATTTTCAGAGTACTGTACCTATATACACACCTCTCTATGGCCGAAGTTGCAGCTCGAAATATCGATATTCGATATTCTGGTAGATGCCCTGCTATAGGCAAAAATTTTAGTAAAATATCTATAACTGTAGATAAAAGGCCCATGGGCACAAATCCTCTTGAGCTTTCTCATACCTCACTGAGGGCTACCTATCAGCAAAAGATGGGACCTAAAGGCGTTAATCACTTCGGGCGGTTCCCTCGTAAGCGTGGTTATGGGTTTTTTAATTTTTTTCGCTGGCGTCCAGTGGGGACTGTTGATGTTTTCTTTGGCTTGCCATAAGACATGTATGACTTACTTTTAGATGGTTTGGAAAATGAATAGCATATGAAATACACGTGCCGTATATATAGTCGTTTCGAGAAAGTGAACTTCAGTCCTCTATGGTAAGGAGTGTATATGGAGAGAAATTTTTTCCACTGATTTACATGATAAAATGGTTCAAAATTGGTATTTGGGACAGACGCATGTATGAATTATTCATTTTATCATAATGCAGAGATGCGTGAGAATGAGAAAAGAATTTTAAAAGGGGGGTGCTTCTTAACTATGTTCGTGCAAAGTATCTCTATTCAATATGAAGTGAAACTATTCCTTTCAATTAAGGAATGTGAAGACGGAGCAAAGTTCAATAGAAACAACTTGAATATAAGCCATAAGAAAAAGATAATCGTTTCTCATTCTATTTCATAATATGCTGCATGCAGGGTGAGTTTAGCTTCCCTTTTCCTATCGCATATGATCGTGAAAACATGGAATTCAGGAAAATATCGATTGATATACATTGCTTTCTATGTTTCGCCTTAATAACGAGAGAAACGCATTGAAAAAGATGAAATTACGTTAGTATAACCTTGAATTAGTTTTCTTAATCGTTCTTAGATTTTTTTAATTTCTGAAATTCAATCTCACGAAAGCACATGCAATTTAATTTATACACTAGTGTCGATAAGTAAAGATGATAAAACATCTAATTTTTAACTTACGAAAATACATTAAATCTATTTTGGCTTGTGGTATATAGAGAAAAGCGGTGATAGAACGCCTAGAAGGAAAAAATTAAATTATTGCTCATTTTTTGTTAGAAATACTGGAACTGATCATTTATATTTATCGTTTATTAGAAATTGTTAGTAGTGCTAAATCAATGATTTTGTCAATCTAGTGATAGCTGATATAACTAGGACGTTCAATAGCATGTGATATCGCCTCTTGTCGTTCTAATGCTAATTTTACAAATAATCTATGAAAAAAAGATGTAAATAAGGGTATATAGTGTTTTCTAAGTATAAAATACAATATAAAACATTTTTCCATACCATATATTAGGTTTAATAGCAGAAGTTTTGAATAATGGTGTCAATAGATTAATAATTAAGAAAAATTTCATCATTACAAGTGAATATTCATCATTGTATTCATATCTTAGATAAAAATTCTATTTTAAAAACGTATAGTTGTTCTTGTTTCAATTATTAGACTTTGCGCAGTAATACTTTGAATTTAGCATGTGTATAACAAATAAAATACTTCTCAAAAACGAAAAAGAGAAGTGTTTCGATAAGATAAATGAATAATTCTTAGAATTAAAGAAAAGAAAAATAGCAATTCAGTTTTATCCGGAAAATCATCGATTAGTGGATTGATAAATCAAAGATATATGATTAACAATTAAATAGAATTGAACTAGATATGTGTACGAAGAAATAATCTTTTAAAGAGCAACATTTATTGTTTTAAAGCGAATCAATCAGATGTATTCTGATTGTCGAAGACAACACGGAGTAAATAAACTGTGTTAATGAAGAGGATCAGTTTGAGTTGATACATCATTTGTTTTAGTTGCATTATTAGGCTGACCATTCGTTGTTGACATATTCGAGTTATTGTTATATTGCTCTACTTCTTCATCCTCATCCTCATCCTCATCGTCGTCGTCGTCGTCTTCACTATCAGGGGTCGTTGTCCACCTTTTCAGGTATTTCCCATACTTCGTTTTGACCATTCTCTTCAAGTGCTTTAATCAAACTATCCATTAAGTTATGCTGAATTAGTAGTTGAACATCACTTAAACGAGGAAACATATCATGTTTGATTAAAACACATCGTTGATAAACGTATTGGAGCAAGATCAGTTCGAATTTTAGCAGGTGTTATCATAGATATCGTTGATGATAATTCCAGAGTATTTGCTTGATCAATAGATGAAGTCATGGTAGAAGTTATGGAATTTGATGATGAAATCTAGAATATATGATAGAATATAATTCTATTAAAACAAAAATGAAGAAAAGCAATTTATTTTTAAATCAAAATGAAATTTTATAAAGATAAATGTATAATTAATCAAATAATTGGAGTCCTGCTATATCAGATTCAGTCCGTGTTGCAGAATCACGTTGTAGAAGAGTATTTGGTTTAAAACTTTTTGTAGGAAACTCATCTTCGTGTTCGTCATCTTCATCGGAAGAATGAAAAGGAACTTCATTGAGTCGATAATTGTGTCTTTTTCGATATTCACGTTCTCCGAGAAGTACAACCATTTCATCGATCATACCAGATTGAAGTAAACGGTGAAAGTAATTATCATTTGGAAGACAATGGTGTTTCTGCAGTCTCCATTTCTGATATTGCTCTTTTGTTGCACCTAATGGAATACGACTAGAGACAATGTCTGCTGCTGACGATGATCAATGGGATGATGAAGCCATTCCATGAAAACGTCTATGTATTAATGTAAATGTCGTCGGTTTATATAGTCCTGTAGAGACGATGGACTTTGACCTTAGACTATGAATGAATTTTTGTCGATTCCATTTGTCTAATGGTTTATGTGAGAGAATGCTATGAGAACGTATAGTTCTACGTATGTCCTTGCAGCGCAAAATTAAATAAAGCCGCTCTTTCTAAAGTAAAAGAATGTGAGCCCTAGAAATACGATTATCCTTCATCGCAGAATATGTAACACTTCACAGTAATAATCTTTTTGAAAAGGGACTGATAATATATCTCTATTTCATTTCAATTCAAGTATTCAAAGACAAGAGCAACTTCAGTACTAGCCACTATTATGCATTTCCACTAACTTTCACATTTTCATCAGATAGCTTGCGTTTCAATATAATTTAACTTAAAATTTAGTTATCAAGTTAGTTTAATCTGTACGAATATAAACTTGATGAAAACAATGGATTTATCTCAAGAATGAACATCAATGAAGAATAACAGTTGTTCCATAAGTACTATCAAACATATACACATGTTTAAACTTATGAAGGTGATAAACTTTGGTCACGTACAAGTTGAATAATATATTGTATAGTTTTATAGGAAGAAAAGAAGTATATTATTCGTGTCAGAAATAATCTGGGTGAGGGTGTGTTTGAACATAGGATAAGAAAGAAGAAACATTAGAAACCTTTTCATTTATCCACGAAATTATCGCTTACAATTCGTTCATAGTATCCACAGTGATATGCTTAGATAAATGTTATCACTAAAGATAAAGAAAAAAAGTTGAGCATTGCAGCAGAGATAAAATAGCTTTTTGAGCTTAATGAATTTTGCAAGTACTAACGATACTGAAAATTACAATCTCTTTTATATATATATTCGAATAAGCTGAACACCTCGATTAGTTTGTGCTCCATTTGTTCTCAACTGTTTCATACAAATATATTGAAATTAAGAAAAGGGTGAATCCATGAGGACTCATTCACTTTTTGGAAAGGTTCTTTCGATTTTTTTCAGTTCAAAATATTGATATCGACTAGAAAACACTTTTGATTAAGAACATGATATAAAATGAACGAGGAAAATGCATTACAATCAAGAATACTAAAATGTCCGTTCATATTAGGGACATGCGCTGTATATTTTATTGTTATATATTAAAGATATGTCTTACAGAGAAATTCAAACTGTAGTATCTGCTACAGTCGTGCATAGTTCAATTTTGGATGGTGCACACTTATCATGTTCATTTTCTTGGAGTTCAGCGAATTTTTCAGAGTTTGAACGAGAGTGCTTTCGCAAAAATGTATGACAATGTTCAAATCCAATATATCGATGAAGAAATTTGCTGCATAAGCGACCAAACCATCGACAGATGGGTATGACAATAAGTTTGATCAGGAGAAAAGCTAAGGCAAAGAGTTCAATACAAAGTGAAGCAAACAATAAATCATGAAAAACTAATTCAGCTGTTCGAACAATTGGTTGTTGAATATTCTTGATATAGAACGGTCGTTCGTCCAGTGTGATTTGTAAGATAGTCATCGATGATGTATATCGTAGGTAACTACCAAATTCAACATAATAATCTTCATCCGACAATGAAACATCAGTAAATGTTGGCATCCATAAACCTGAATATGATGTCGAATCAGATGAACCAAGTGCGTGTGTCATATTGATATTTTTCACAAATACAATTGGAATAGACGAGTACCGACCAATTACTTGATTTGTTGTTGCATAGAACTGGCAAAAATTAAGTTCACGCAGTGTTGTACTCGCATTTGTTTCACCTTGTCCTCGAATACATAAACGCAAAGCACCAATCCAATATGGTCCTGTCATGTTGATCTGTATTGTTGTCAAATGTCTTGGAAGAGAAAATGTTATCGATGTGATGGCTGTTTCGATATATTCTTGACAACTGGTGTACAGTGAAACATATTTTGACGCGAGAAAATTTTCTTGAACAGTGATAGATACACATGGAAAGCCAGTATTGATGAGTTCAAGCGATAGAACAAAGATTTGTTTGTCGAGAAGGTCAAAGATAGGCTGAGCATCCTCCGATTTGGGAATAGCAAGAAGTTCGAGAGCTGTCGAGAATTGGGAATTAACTAAGCTTTCATCACAAGCAAATACAGCTGGTTCATGAATATTTTCAATCGGATAACGTTTGATAAATGCGGCTGAAAACCAATAGGAAAACGCTACGAGAATAGCAATAGCCAATGTTGCTAGTCCACCAAACCACATTTCACCTTCACCAATAATATCCATATGTTTGAAGATAATCTTGGCTTTCTGGTTGTATGCCATCCATGATTTACATTTGGCGAGATTCGTAACGATCATACCAATCACGAAGAGAAGACATAAACTGCCTATGATGATAGTCCACAGCAAAGGAGAAATCAATAAACAATGTTTATCTGTTCCAATTTGAAAGACATTCTTGATAAGAAGATCTTCAATGTTGGAAGCATCAACCGTTTCAGGATAAGCCACTACCTGACTGTAGGAAGGTACATTTGTCAGATCAACGTCTACGAGTGCTGCAAGTGGACAGAATGAGTTGGATGAGTTTGTTAAACATGGCATGCATTGGTGAACAGCATTTACAGATGTACCCGAATTTCGAGTACCTGAAGGACAAATTTGACATGGACCGAGACTTGATTGATTCTTATAAGTACCACCAATGCACAGTCTTGGTTCAAAGTAGAAGACATAGGTTCGTGCTGTAATATCGATCCATTGTGAAGCAAAACCAGCACAACTCAGAGGAACAATGACAACATCGGCTTTGTCCGTTAGAATAGCCATGTTACCATTCATAGTGATGCTGAATCGAGCAAATGATGGGCGTGACAAACGACTTCCCAAGACTTGTTGATGATTCGGAAATGTGAATAAAGGAGAAGTCATGCTGACTGAGTTTTCATGGTAAAAGAATATTTGTGTCGTTGACCAGCTTGTATCAAAAGGATCTTGAACTAAGACAGCGATTGTTGTATCATCAGCCCAGGCGACAACACGACCAATGGAAGATGATGAAATAAATGATAAGATATATGTACTAGTGATATTCAAGAACGAGCCATGATTGTACAGAATGATAACTGATGATAGACGATGAACTCCAACGAGAATCTTTTGACCACGAATAGTGACAGATAATTCATATAGTTCATTGTATGTCATGAGATTCGACGGTATTAGATAGGATGGGTCCGTTGCAATAGATATACAAGATGCATTGACTATTTGCGACAAATCAACCAGGCATCCGTAGACTCCATAAGGTTTGTTGGATTGCTGTATAACATATGCATAACCAGTGACGAATGCCCATGTATCTGCTATATCGATTGCACGCGGAATAAAACCATGGCCAGGCCAAATATCGTCTGTAGTAAAGTTTGAAACAATTTGATTGGCATAGATATCCAGCTTAAATACAAATGAATTTGTGAGTCCATAAGCAAATGTTTTATTTGTATCAACATTAATGAGAAAGTATTCTTGATGCGATCCTGCTGGAGCCACATCGGTACATGCATATGTTGAAGCACAAGTTGATTTTGTAATTATTCCGATGCAGACGATTGGAGTCATTGTGGACATTTTTTCTGCTGCGAAAACGAACATAAATTGATTTGCATCCGTACTATTTTTAGTAATGCCTATGACAACTACACTATGAACGAAACGATCAGTGGGATTGTATTTCATATTACATAGAACAGGTTCTCCCGCGCTAATGTTTCCGAATGGATGCATAAGAACAGCGAAGTTGGAGAATGCATTCGATGCTGAGACAAACAAATCGTCATTGACAGACATTCGAATACCTCGCACAACATCAAGTAGATCATATTGACACCAACAAACGCGATAACAAGCAGTCAATAGAAATAAAACGCCAATAAACATGCTTTCTATCTGAAAATATCAAGCTTTTTTGATTGTATTGATTTGGATATTGTATCAGTTAAAACTCTAATGAAAATTCCACAAAATATTGTGTGCAATTTGTGTTTTCTAGGGTGTATATATGTGATTATTTATTGTGATAGACATTACTTACCCGTTCAATTGAAACACGTGAGAGGTACTTCTTTCGAATACATTTTGAAAGTAGAATACTATTATGTTATGCAAAAAGAGCACTCATCACGTTACTGCCAGATGTTTGCTCTTGCTTGTTATTATTACAATGTGAATGATATAGATCCTTGTCAATCGTAAGGAGAGATGAAAAATCTTTTCTCTTATTATGTGTCGTTTACTTTTTAAAGCAGAAAAAAATATCGGAAATAGATGACGAGTATTCATATAACTTATGGGTGTCGTTTTTACTTCTATGCACAAATTTTAATACATCTAAAATGTTCATTATGTTATAGAAGCGGAAGGAAAAACTTCGTTTCTAATTATCAGAATAAGTCAGAAATCTTTTATTCGTATCAAGATTAATCGGAAATAGATGTGATAGCTTTTTTGAGAGTGAGTTTGAACAATTAACTACCACAAATTGATTTTCATCATAATTAAATGATGAATCATCAGGCGGTATAACAATCTGCATTATTGTAAGAGAAATATTGAAAATTAATTTGAAAAAGATAAAAAAGATCTTCCAAAATTAATTTCAACCTTTTGAATCTCATAGTGATCGAGAAAGGAATTTTGATAGCAAAGGGTCTATGTATTGTGTATATTTACTTTAGTTTTGGATAGTGACATAAGATTCAGTTGTTAGAGTGCTTAGGTATAGGATCTTATAGGTTATCTAATTATATATTGATGTTCAGAGTCGCCTTCATGTTTTCTTGTGCTTCTTGCCTGTCGTGATTAATTTGATCATGATTCCACGGTAGGTTTTTGATGGTAAAATGAACTATGTGTTTGGACGAACATATTCTATCGTATTCTTTTGTGCAGTAGAATATGATGATCTTGATGTTGTCCTAAATATATTGTACTAGAAGATGATTTGTATTTAGTGAATTATTATATGGAATGAAAAAGAATATATGAATGAAAATGGGAAGGGCTTTTTATAGTTGTGATGAAAAATTGAAACTTTGCACTCGTCTACGCCTAAATATTTTTTTGGGACAAGCTATTTTTCGTAAGAGATGTGTGCACGAATGCTATCCATTCCTATAATGATTATTATATAAAATTGTTTCGTTTGAACTTTCAAATACGCTATGGCATTCTTTTACCTTCTCTGGTTATAAGTCAGAATATGTACGCGAAACAATATCTATGACAGAGAGGAGGAGGAGAGGAAGAGAGAAAATAAAAGAATGAAGATCTAAAAATATACATATTTTCTATTTTGATCTTAGTACGTGTAGGATGTTTCTTGATGGAAGATGATGAATAATATAGTGGCATTAATAATAAAATAATCTGGTATAATTCAATTTCTGGATATATCCGGACACGTGTCGTCTGGTAATGTGATTCATATCCCTATAGTATGGGTTGGAGTTGATTAAATAAATGGTATGTACAGTAAGAACATTTTCTTCAAGTATTAATATCACGAGTTGATTTCAATTTGAATAAATAATTTTTCCCAGTTTAAGTTATATGAATGGATGATATATCTAGAAAAGAAGAAATATATGAATTTATTTGTTATTAGATTTGAAAAGCGAAACGAAAATGACTGAAACATTTGAATAAGCCAAAGAATGATTATTTTTATGCCAAAAAAGTTTATAAACTACAGCAAAGGATTATCCTTTTCTTTTAGACTGCCCTCAGATTCTATCATTGATTATAATGAATTGCTATCTGTACTAGATCATGATGTTAATTTATGTTTTGTGATATAGTTTGCGCGCTCAATCATATGTATTCGACGATTCTCAGTAGCATCAAGTATCATCTTCTGCCATTCCGATGTTGACTCCATAAATCTGTTCTTAATAAAAAAATGTATTGCGTTCAAATTTCCAATTTTTTGTCAAGAGTTAAAATTGCATGATAAATAATATCGTTCTTCGATGATTTCAATCTCTCGATTTCATTTGATAAACAGTCATTGGATGAAGACATTTCCACAGTTTCATTCAAAGTTTTTATATTAGTACCGATATTGTCGATCATTTCATGAACTAAATTAGATACTGATTTATATTGGAATGATGTTGATAGAAGCCGATATTGTAGCAAAGCAATCTCTTGTTTAACTATCAATTGTTCTTTTGCAGCTTTCCATATACGTCTTGCTAAGATAATCTAAAGTAAATTCAAAATAAGAAAATATACAATGAAATCAAAATACTTTATGAATTATATATTTACGTGTGTCTTATTTGGTTCCGTAATAAAAAAAACCTTTGTAATAAATACTGATCAGTTGCATCCAAGACTAAGATTTCTCTTTTATATTCGAATTGATGCCTTAATACTTGCTGCTTCTCCTGTACTAATTGACTCAGAATTAAATATAACTCCTTCATTGCATATATACAATCATCAGTATTGTCACACTTCAATAAAATATCATGTTCAAATTGTTCAATCGCACTTTTTGTTGTTTCCATATGTTTTTGAATTTGTTTCAAACGTTGTTCAATAAGAGATTTTGACCTACCATATGTATAATTGATAGAGTATTTCTCAGCTGTTATTTTTGGCATACGACCATGCCAAATATTCCTTGTCGAACCAATATGATAATAATATTTCCATTGATAAGGTTGTTCCATCAACGATTGATTTAGTAATTGTTGACTCTTTTGGTTTCATATTTACATTAGCTGCTGATAGCTCTTCGTTGATAGATAATTGTATACATTGTTCACGCAATTTCCGATGAAAACGTTGTAATCGTCGATGTCCACGACTTTTCTTCTTTTTCTTTTTCAATACTTCGCGTTGTAATTGCTGTGGTATTTGTTCCGTAGCTTGATTTCTATGGAAGAAACTTGAGCACAAATCTTGATAAAATGGATTATTTATTATCGACGTAATATTGAATTAATCAAAGATATTAAATCTGAAATATAAATTAATATAATAAAAAGATTAGATTATATAAATTCACTAAATAGAAAGATGAAATGTTTTATAAGTATTGATAGATTATTTTTAGAAAGATGCAAAGAAATAATAATGAAAAGCTTTTAGACCAGAAACTAGTGCTTGTTAGATGCTGATTCTTGTTATTCCAGTAAGAGAATTGTTATTGAATTCTAGAATTTGTTTTGTACGATTTTCCGTATTTACTACATGACTTCCAATAATGGTACGCATTGCAGGATTCAATGAGTCTAGAAAAGGTACTTGGTTTCGTTCATAATTATAATCGATAGAAAGTGGATTATTTTCTTTGAACATTGACGAAAAATCTTCTTGTACTTTAATGGTTGTTTGTAAGACATGTACATCAAAATTACCGTTATTGACATCTCATCTTTGAATACCATTGGTGAGATGCTGTTGTTGTCTCAATAATTCCACAACTTCTGTTAATGTCATAAAACATTGCTGACATAAGTCAATTTGACTGGTTTTATTATTCTTAATTGATAGTGCTTTCGTGGAATAAAAATAACTGATCCAAAAATTGATAGGCGAAGCACGATGTTATATATTATACCATAAAGCTTTATTATGAGGCTATGAGCGAGCTTCGCTCCTGTACGTAGCCGAGAAAAAAAACTGTTCTTATCAAATCGATGTGACAAAAGCGCCATATATAGAATTAGGGCACGGTCTTTTTATAACATCGAGGAACAACACTTAGAAGAAAGAAGAATGGTTTGTACAGTTAGAGAAAGTAAAGAACAGTGTATATTTGAGAGAGAAGAAAGGTGGGAACAGAAAAAAAGGAGTCTTGTTCACGTGGTCAATTTGTTGTAGCTGTGGCTGTTGTAGGTGTTTGCGAAGGTTCTTCGTCGTTGAGGAAGACGATCGACAGTTTATGTTGAAGGAAATCCTCGATGACACCAGGATTTATTTCAAGCATCTTGCACGATAACTTCTCCAAGTGGATGCCCGATAATTCCTCAACTGATCGAAATTTCGGTAGATTTTCAATTTCAATATTTCTAGCATCATACCATTGATGAATGATACGATGGATTTTCCTGTTTAGTCCTTCTAATTGTTTCCTTTTTCTTTTGCTAGAAGTGGATAAATGTTCAGTATTGATTGTAGGTGTGGTCGAATGAAAGCGTGATAGAGTCGATAATTAATTTTCTCGTTCATCATACGACTGGTCGCTAGACGTTTGAACACGTTCAGGTTTGTTCATATCTTTGATTTGATGTAATCGATATGCGCTTGGAAGGACAGTTTGGTATCAAGGATCGTTCCAAGATGCTTAATTTGATTTAGATGTTTGACTTTACGGCCTTCGCATTTGATTGTTGATACCTTTGGATTTACTTGCCGATTGAAAAGAGTCCAATAGGTTTTGTTGAAATTTATTGGTTGCTTCCACGTGATTGAATAATTTATTAGACTCCTTAGTATTCGTGCTAATTGTCTTCTTAATGATTTCATCATCTCCTTTGGTGTTAGTGCTGATGATGGTGCAATTAGAGTGGCCAAATCATCGGCAAATAAGTGTTTCCAATGAATGGTCGATAATGCTTCAAGTATATCATGATGATATACGATAAATAATACTGGTCCTATGCAACTGCCTTGAGGAACACCTTTCGAAAGATTGAATATGGATGAGCTTGTATTTTTCATATTAATATAAGCTTTTCTTCTACATAGATACTGTTTCAACCAAGCTATTATGTATAATGGACAATATAACTTGTTTAGTTTTAGTCCTAGTCCATTGAACCATAATTGATTGAACGCTGAATTGTAATCTGCGAAGAGTGCCGCTGCAGCTGTGATCATTGACACGATGCACACGGACATGTTGTGCTTGGGCCTAAAACCAGTTTGTTCCGGCGGCAGAATTCCAAAGTTCTCGAGACATTTACGAAAATGTATCAGAAAGCATTTTTCGTATAGTTTCGAGAAGCACGGTAGAAGAGATACAGGCCTTGTTTTTGTCGATAGATGTTGTTTCGGATTTTGTTTTAGATAATAGTATCATTTTGGCAATATGCCAAGACAAACTTATTCATACATGTCAGGACAAAGGATAAATGATTAGAAGGAAGTAACTTAATTATTTTCTTCGAGACCTAGTCGACACCTGAAGAATTTTTCCTTTTCATTGAACTAATGGCTCTGATTAATTGCCAGTAGTTTATTTCTATAGGAATGAGAGGATTATTGATCAAGATTTCATTCAGTTTCTTTTCATTTTCTTCTGCTGCAATATCAATTTCTGTTTGTGTAGATGGGTGATCCGTGAATTGATCCTCGTAATAATTTTTCGCAATGATACACATTTCTTCTGGTGTAGTAACAATGTTGGTGTTAAAATCAAATCCGTCAACTGGCGCAGATTTTGAATGAAAATTTCGTTTGGCTTTTCGCCAAAAGCTTTCGTATCGCAATCATTGAACGATCCGCAGTAATCGAGCCATAATTTTCTTTTATATTGAAAAAGCGTCTTTTGTATCAGTTTAGATATATCTCTTAACATCATTGCATAAAATGGATGAAAAGTTTAGCGAAATAGTTTCAGCAATATACGTTTTTCATCGATTAGATGAACTACATGTTGTGATAGAGTTGGTTTGATGGTTTTCCTTAGTGTAACATTGGTAAAGCGTGCTGCACTGAGAGCTAAAAACCGTTCATAAGTCGTGAAGAAAATGGTTGAGTAGTGCATATCTTCCGCCAATTTTTTCCAATAATTTCCAATGGGTTCGCTTTATTGGATATTTTCCACGTGTAGAGGATATTTTAAATGCCCGTCTCCAGATAACAGGATGGTGGTCATTTCTAATGGTCGGCAGCACTGAACATGAATTTGTTACCATATGTGTCGGTGCCATAATTAAATCAATCGTAGCCTTTGAACGAGACGATGTTGGGATAAATTTATTTATTATTTCCAAAGCTGTTTTTGTTTGAGAAGATGATAAACAGTTGTATAAGTTTTTACCTTTGTAATTCTCTATTGAAGGAGACTATATTCTATTCTTAGCATTTAGATCTCCTGTTGTAATGGTGTTTTCGTTTCTTTGAAAGATTCGATCAAAAATGTCGAAAGGAATTTATTGACAAGATGGTGAATAGCACGTGACCAACTGAAATTTATTGAGCCTGTACCTATTTCCTATGCTATTAGATTTGGAATACTATTAAATTCGGCTATACGTTGAGAATAAATCGATTTGTGTATCGCAATTAGTACACCACCGAATGGATTTGTGCCACTGATGGAAGGAACATCATAATTGAAAAAGTGTTTCGAAAATAGTTTAACTGGAACATCGTCATGATGTGTTCCATTTAAAGTAATAATTGGTGGAGAGGTGGAATCGACAAGGTCGAAGATTTCGTTCTTGTACCGATTTAGACTGGATACATATAACAAGAATATCGAGAAGTTCTCATGAAAGTTTAACATTGATAGGGTTTTATCGCGGTAATTTCACCATTTGTCTAGCAGAAAATCAAGTGTTGGAGCATTTGTCCATTCTTCGAATATCTTCTTAAAAGCATTTCCCTTGTGTTTCGATAATTGATTAACATTGATAAGAAACGGTTTCTTTTGTTTGGTTTTAAATGTCACTGCTGATGGATTTATTTGAGAATGATCTACACATCAACGAACCAGTAGCTTGATTCTTGTCTGTTGATTTGATCATAGCTTCAAACTATTGTTTGAATTGTTGAAGTTTGGGGTGAAATTTTTCCTTTTGTTCCTTTTCTCCTAATTCTGATACAGCATCACCTAAATTAATGAGAAATGGGGAGATCATGTTTAAAGTAAAAACCTTGATTGTATCAATATCATTTTGACACGCTTTTATCTGTGCGAAAGCATTTGCAATGTTTGAATTTGATTTAGCTTTTTCCTGTGACAGTTTTTCAATACCAGTTATAATTTGGTTCAACTTCGAATTCATATCTGACAATAGAGCACGATGTGCAGATGTCCCTTCGAATTGACTTGCGGTGTATGTTGGCGCTTGAATGTGTTGTTCATTCACATCGTTAAACCATGGATTTTGGGTTTCAGTTGGTTTCACTTGCAAGACTTTTATACTCGACGTACTTGTCACTGCTGTTGTTTTCTTCGTTCTTCAACCTTGATTGGACAATTAGGGCTTCCAGCCATATGGTTTTGTCCACAATTTGCACATCGAAAACACTTCGGTTCATCCTTATGTGGACGATTTGCTGCAATGTGGTCGTTGTATTGTTGGCAGTTGAAACATCGAAGAATTTTTGTTGGTGGAGAATACGGCTGTATCATAAAAGATGTATTTTCATCATCAAGTAATAGTCGTTTGGTTTGAATGATTTTGCTAACTTCCTGATTCGAAGCGAAATCAATTGTAACTTTTGAAATTGGAATTCCTCTCTTGACATACAAACGTTCGACTTCGATAATTGTAGGATATTGTTTTTCAATATCTGATTCAAATTGACCTACATTCACAGCTACAACTGAATATGCCATTGGCATTTTCATTGGAAGGAAGATTTCATAGTCGCACGAATATATCTGGATTGGCCACGTCGTTTTGTCCATCAGTCGATCAAATTGTTCAGTGGTGCCAGCATATAGAAGAAAACATTTTTTGTTTCCATTTGATAAATACCGACCGTATGAACGATCCATGCGGAAGAGCTTGTTCATATCTTTAATGATTGATAATTCCGACGGACAGCTATCACTGATAAAGTTTATACGAAAAGGTGGAAATGTTGCTTTGGGTGTGCCTGCATTCGTTTGATTTGGTTTAGAAGGAGATGTTGTACTATTTCGATATTGTTGTTTTTGGTCTGATCCTTGAACAGCGCTGTTGAAGTATTGGTTTCGTACGTTGACCACACGATGTTCTTGTTCACATGTGTCATCACCTTCTTTTTGTCTTTTCATGACATCATGTTTATTAATTCGATTTTATGGATGGGCAGTTTCGGAGAGAGTTTTGGGATTGATACTATTCTCCATTAGATCCGTAACTGTTTGATTCGATTGATGAGACATGACGCCACTACAACTCATCAATAACGGTAACACTAGTTAATGACGATGAATCACCGTCACTGCGTAGGGTAAAACCAATACCTTGGACAGTGGACGTGAGACGATGTATAGCAAGAGGACAGGAGAGACAAAAGAGGTATAGTACGAAAGCGACTGACCGTGATCACTGTAAGAGGATGAATGAGGGTGTTTTTTATGGAATGATTGATGTTGCTGCTATCAATGCACTAATCTTATGGAAAAAGAAAAATACGAATGTCGTCTATTTCTACAAGAATTAAGAACACTTCTGATATCCAATCTTTTAGATTTTCGCTCAAAAACCTCATCAACATTGCACAAAGATATTCAAAATGCGCTAGCTCTATTTGGTTATCCGCGCATAGAAACAGAATTCGAAACATTTATCACAGATTCTGCACGTTCCAAACGAAAACGATGTTCACTTTGCGATTATTCAAGTGTCAGAAAAGTTTCTAACACATGCTACAGATGTTCAGAGTCTGTATGCAAACAACATAGTGTGAAACGCGTTTTTTGTATTAATTGCCCTAAATAAACAAAATCTATTAGTTTAGTCATTTTTGATCGACTAATACTTAGAAACAATTCAGTTTTAATTAGATGTTCGTTGGAAAGAGAAAAGAAACCTTTCTCGGAATGTATTTTATTTTTACCGCCAAAAATAGGCTTGGGAGTACTAGGGTTAAATACAAACAAAATCTTGTTCATAAAAATTGAACATGATATGCATTTTTTTTGAGTTAATTTACGCAACGCACCTAACCGACTGATGCAACATGTGGGTCTAATCTGCAATGCACGTTTGATCAACGAGATTATTGCTTATTAAAAGTTTCTTTAATAAAAATTTTCCCATCTCATGATGCGCTCATGTGAAAAAAATAGCACAAATCTTCATTTTCCCTTTTACTAAGAGTTCCGTTATCACATTACTCAACATTCTTTACTTAAACATTTGAAATACTAACCACTCACTTCAAGAACCCACATGCATAACTGAACAGATCGACGATCTAAACTGGAATAATGCGACATCATTCCCAAAGAGAGGAAGAAAGACAAAGACGAATCATAGGTGTACGTTTCTTGATAAGCCGCCAGCATTTGCATCTGTTCCTTATTCAAAACATCATCCATTCGAAAAAGCATTCCAGTTGCAATCGTTAAGTTATCCAATAACATTTCCGAAAGTAGTTTATCATCGAGTATCAACGGACGTCTCGACGTATTGCTAGTGAAATAAACCCGTTAATAACATCAATCAGTAGAAAATGCAAACGTACGCCTACCCGTTTAAACACTGTTAGAAAAGTCGAGTGCAAAATCTTCAGAAAAATGGATTTGTAGGCAACGATATCGTTCACAAATGCAAGGTACTCATATATGAACTGTCGACGTTTTAAATAGGTATCACTTTCAACAAAATCTAGCATCTTCATCGATCACATATCCAAACACATCAAAAACATTTTATGATGATATCACACAAACAAGACCAAAAACGTAATTGCGTCTTATGCGGGGTCATCATGGACACAGTCATCCATCAACTGACAGCATCTATAAAACCATATGAAATAAATCCTTGAACAGCAGAATGGAAAAAGTTTCTTCGCTTCAGCTAATTTGAAGAATACTATATAAGTACACATATGTATGAAACATACTAGATCCGATCAAAGAAAAGGAAAAAGAACGAGAGTGCCTTAAACCATTCTCGATGTCCATATAAATGCTGATTAAATACAAAACGTTCATCGCCTAGTACATTGTTCGCGGCATTAACTACAACGACTGTATTCCTCGCTGTGCTCATTTCAAAATATTTAATCGTGAAACCAAATCTCTTCAAAACGAACACCAATGGCTAACTTCACGCACTAAACCCAGATGACAGTTAATCAATCAAACAACTGAAACACCAAGCAAAATCACCACGCACCTATTTCGAAGAATATCTCAAATCAAATAACGAAGCCGATCAAACTCTTTCCATTAGGCCAAACTTTGCTGTAGCCATGTGAAAATTTTCACGAATGGCAGAGACAAGTAAACTTCTGACTTCTGCAAGCGCAGAAACATGTGGCAGATCGGTCGAGAATGGTAATCTTTCATTATTTCAGGGGAGTGTGATTATAGAAAAGAAGTGAAAGACGTTGTGCTTTGGAAAGTGTAAGTTTCGAAGCGATAAAGCGCGATGACAGATAAATACCTAGTATTGTGTTGAGAATGAATGATGGGTGGTAAATTTCTGGTGAAAAGCAGATATCAGAACGAGAACTTTTTGCAAAATTGGTTTCAATTTGAGATTTCCCATGACCTCATACTTTTTACTGTTTTCATAAAAACGACTTCTTATCAAAAATGCAAAATAGAAGTTTAGATGACTATCCTATTCTATAATATTCTCTTATTAATGTTATTCTTCATGTATCAAAACAGATTTGAACAATTTCCACTCGTCAAATTCCATAAATCTGAAAGCTATGCAGTCTAATCCAGAAATATTTCTATCGTATATCAAGGTAACAGTGTAGATTTTAATACATCATACGTAAAAAATCTTCTAAGATCGATTATCAAAGACAGAATGACGTTAGCAGAATATTTTTATGCTCTCATGATTTTATTTTTTTAATTCTGTTTGTGCACTTCGAAAATGTCATGTCAAGCAGTAGAGTTATAAATAAAAAAAAACATTTGCGTTTTTCAATGTTTCTCTTCATTTTATACAACTCCTTGTGTATCTCAAAAAGTAGCAAATTTGATTATGCCTCTCTACGAAATAACACCATCAAGATTTTTTCTCTGTCTAGTAAAAGTATTTTTGTTGACATTTATTTCCAACGGAAAATTTTTATCACCAGCATTGCTTTCATCTATTCTACTCGCATTTTCTGTTAATTTGCTCCTGAGAAATAGACGAAAAAGTGAAAAGATAATTTTACATCAGTTACATAAATTAGTGAACCTACCCATCTACGTCAATGCAGAGAGAAAAAAAGAGAAGATAATTAAATTAAAAAAATTATCTTTCACTCGTGAATACTTCACTTATATGAAGCATCATTTTAGTTATCATTTCTGATTGAGTTAATCTTTATATAACTGCGTCAATTAAGATACAAAAATGGAATTTTATCTTAACCATGAGTTTCATAAGCGAGTTTTTAAAAGTGCATTTATCAGGTCTGAGGAATCAATGATATATGCATTATATAAAGGTTTTGCACAAGCTTTAGTTCTCATTTATGATAATTGAACAGAATGTTTTCGTTTTGTGCTATAGGTTTCCAGTAATTTTTAGATTTTTCAGTCGCACGGTTAGTCAAAATATATCGTCATGTTGCTCGTATACGTTTCTCAACAAGGTACGATTTGCTATGGACTCTTTATTTTTATCATCGGTGTAGTGGGTAATGCAATAAATATTTTTATCTTTGGGAGTGTTCACAAGTATCGTACAACAGTATCCACATTCTATTATCTTATTGGTTCAATTGTAAACTTTATTTTAATGTTTACTAATGTAGGTATGCGCATTATATATGATGGATTTGTTTTTGAGCCAGGTAGTAATTCAAATGCCGTGTGTAAAATCAGACGATTTTGCAATATTACATTCGGTATGATGTCGCTATGTTTCTCATGTTTGGCAACAATTGATCAATATTTTGCTACATCACCAAATGTTCGTATACGTAATTGTAGTAATATTAAATGGGCCCATCGTATTACAATTATTGTTATTATCATTTGTTGTTTACATGGTATTCCTTACCTTATCTTTGCTAATCTTTCACCAGTCACCGGTGTTTGTCGATATATAGATGCTATCTTCGAAGTTTACGTACCACTATTCATTGTGATTGTGCTCGTCATTATAGTTGGCATNTCCTATAGTCCAGACGTTGCCCCATCTGACTACGGTCTTTTCCGATCAATGCAGCACTTTATGAAAGGTCGCCGATTTGACTCATTCGACGACGTTGAAGAAGCATGTGAAGACTTTTTCAATTCAAAGTCGAAGGAGTGGTACTTTGACCAAATCCGAAAGCTTGCAGATCGTTGGCAGAAGGTCGTGGACAATGATGGTCTTTATTTTGAAGAATAGATGTTGTTTTTAAATGAATTCATGGATAAAAAAATCATTATTTTAACACGGCGCACGAACTTTTTCCTCAACCTAGTAACAAATCAGTTTTCATTTGGAACACAATTTGCATTGTCTGCTGTTATGCAACTACACCATTGGACTGATAAACTAAAAGTTCATCAATTCTTTACTTTTCCCTCTCATGGCTGTTTTAATTGAAAATCTTTTACAATTATTTCTTTATCATAGTCTCTTTTTTTTATGACAATAAAATCTACATCATCAAAAGAGGCAGCCTAGAAACAATGTCATGAAGTGACACCTAAGCGAATATTCATGTACATGATTGGCAACAGCCAATACTGAGCCCATTTGAACATAAACAAGAACTCTTCGGAAGGTAATTTATATTCTTATTCGCTATGTCTATTACTCAGTATAATCATCGTTATCTTTTAGACACAACGATCACATTTTTTCAGCTGGAATAAATCTTCTATATAGCATACTTCAAACGTGTTTAGAATCGTTACAAAAACAATCCAACATTCATTATTTGAATGCTTATATTGAGAATCGAAAGGCATGAGCTGTGTACTCGAGTATATCATAATCCAATGATACTACGCTATACATTACTCTAAGTTGTAGGTCATTCCAAGGTAGAACATAGCGAATGGCTTCGACCAGCACTTCTTCGTCCAAATAATCGATTTATGCGAACGAATTCGTGCCAGTTCTACAGAAAAAAACGTGCGAGATTGCTGGTTTGTGCATCAATATATTTCATGCGATCAACTGGGTGAATACTGACATAACAGCCACAAATACCTAGTATGTGCTCGATTAAATAATCTGGTTTGGAATATGGTGATCAATACAGCGCTCGAGACAGATCGAAAAGAAAAATCATTCAGTGTGTTTTCTGACTATCCCTGACAAACAGATTAGCTCCCGGTTGCTAAATCACTCGACTTCGATTCACCACCTGTTGCTCTAATTTGTATTACAATCATCTTCATTTACTTTCTTGATCACTGTCGAAAGCTACGTCAACCAATACAGTATACGGCAAAGTCAACTTAGTCCAGAAGTGAATAGAGGCATCTAACTTGCTCACTTCTTCCCTTTCGTGAACTCTTTTGGTAATAGTCATCATTTATGATTGTAGAGCGCCCACAAGAAGAAGAACAAGACACAATTTACCCGACGTCCCTAATTCGTCAGCCAACCGACCGGGCGACCAGAAATACTCCTCCAGGATCCAAGGTCAATCAAAATACTATCCAACAACACGCGATTGACAAACCTCATCTTGCAGTCGTAAGTATCAAGATCTCAAAAGAAACGCATACTTTCACTGAATTTGTCCTCGTTTCATTACTTCTTCAACACTTTAGCCACCATACTACTACAGATGTGTGTAAGACCAAGCCATGATCACCTTAATATCCAACGGCTCAAGAAACTCGTCAAAAAAGAACTAAGCAGTTCTCGCGAATTATTATATCGATATTCATAAATCCTTCCAATTCATCTTTCTCTTCTTCATCTTCGTAGCTTTCTTTAATGTTACAATAATTCATAGAATAGAAAAACTCATTTGATCTTTTTCACCTGATCATAAACTTAACTACAGAGTATATCCCGCATTCCGAGACTACACACTGTTGCCATGCAAAATATTATGCAGTTTCTGTGACAATGCCGCTAACTCATTTACATTGATTCGCACAACTGAAGACAACGACTCTTCTACCGTGTTCTTCTCTATTATCATCCTTCGTAAAGCTATCTGATGAATACGGCCCTTGAGAAAGGTCGAAACTATAGTGGCAGTATTCTCTCTCTATAACCCACACCCACAGCCACATCCACACCTTCATCAATCATTCGACAGAGTAGATAATTTTCTCGCAAAAGTTATGCTGAACTAATCAAAGGCAAACAGAGCTCATCATAGTTTAGCGTATATTTTTGAAACCTCTGACTAATATACAAAGTCAGCAATACTTTGGCATGAATTCTGCCGAACAGTTAGTCGTTCTACGAATTCCTTGATAGTTTTGAATAAATTCTACCGAACCGGCGATTACTGTACGAAGCTGTTGATATTTCCGCAGGAGTCGCACTGACCTATTGATAGTTTTGGAAAATCTCTTAACAAATCATGGGCGAGCTCACGAAAACCTTGGGCTATTTTGCTAGAAATCTGGACAACCATAAGCCAAAGTACGACGCTAATGATGGTTCTGCAGAAGTTATGCACAACGTCTTTCTTGTGTACGAAACTATGTATCGTTCTGTGTAATGAAAGCTAAACCTTTGTATGAGCTGCTGAATTCTAGCCGATCAGTACTGAATATACTGAGATTTTAATAATTTACAAGCTCGTTATTGATTTCGACTATTCCACACGAAACCAAGTCTAGTTTAGTTTAAAATATTATAAACTTTTCGAAAATTGACGAACCATCGATGCGTCGGTGTGAAGTCGTCTGATCCATCAACTTGCCTGCAAAACTAGAAATAGTTTCGTAGAAAATTGATAAAACGTACCGTCACACTCCTGAACTGCTGATGGTTCTGTAGACATGTTACAGAACTACGAATGGTTTCGCATACCGCATGAAAAACCTGTGGATGGTTTTTACTACCAATTGTCGAACCTTCTCGACGCTACGGAACTTAAATCGTTCAGTCGAAGTAAAGGAAACCTTTTATGTTCGGTAAAGCTCCTCTTTTTCGAGTGTAACGAAAACCTCACATTTGTTACGAAAATATGTTGTAAACTATATGAAAATGAAGCAATATGTGTGTAGAAGATTTACTTTATCTGATAACTAGAATCTATATAAAACATAAATATTTCTCTTTGTGTTATCTAAAAGAAATAAAGGAGAAAATAATTATTATCAAAGAACAAACTGCAAATGATTTCTATGTTGAGGATTCGAATCCGTATGTAACGATATTTCCTTATCAATTGCAGACGCAACCAAAACAGTATCGAAAATATTATGCGTTCACTTATGCATCATAATGATGACTACACGATACCAATATTTTATTTTAGTCACTTTTACTTGTGCACTCATTTCTTTCATAGATAGCTTTCTTACTGATTATTCTATTGATCTATCAGCAAAAAAGGTATCGTTGAGTTCATAATGATCGACTAAATGACAATCATGCATAATCATTTTTTATACGTTTCTTAGTTCCGATCATGCAATAAAGTGAATCATCTATTCGCATAAGTGTCTCTCAATACATGATTCAAATTTTACGTTGGAAATATAATTACAATCAAATTAATGGACAGATGCTTATTTAATCAGTTAGCATATGCAATTAAAAAACGTTTTTTGTCCTCATCATTAGTGTGCCTCTTTTTTGTGAATTTAATCTCCACATTTCTAAAATATTTTATGATATGCTACTTCTAGTTTGCATCCTTTGCTTAATTTTTTTTCCATTTATAATTACATTTCCACAAATTAATCTTGATTTAACTGATTCAATCAATGAGGACGGAAATATTTCTGCTTTACAACATCATTGTCTTCATGTTGCTATTTGGAATGAACTAGGAATTGACCCTTATCAAATAATTTCTTTTTGTATGAACGAATATTCATCAAAATGGGATCTAAAAGAAAATAATATTGATCGAAAATTTACTTTTGCTGACCTTTATCAATTGAATATTACTATTGAACAATTATATCTTTGGTCAGCACCATTGGATGTAATTGAACGTTATTATTCATATACGAAACAACGTGTAACTACAAATCAAACATCATTTTTCACGAAAGAACAATATTTTTATAATTGTACGTCTCCTAGATTCGGTCCATATTGTCAATATTCATTTGATCTTTATAATGATGCTTATTTAACATTAAATGAGATTATGCATGATTATTATCAACAGCCATATGAACCATCTTCATTGACATGTTATACTCATTTGCAATGTAATCGTTTTTCAACGTTAGCTTGTCTTGATTGGACTGAAATATGTGATGGAATTATTGATTGCGAAAATGGTACTGATGAAGAATCTTGCTGGCAATTAGAAATAAATAAATGTAAAGATAATGAATTTCGCTGTGATAATGGTCAGTGTATCGATAAGTTATTTTTACATGATAATATTAATCCTCACTTTGAATGTCTCGATCAATCAGATGAAAAAGAAGATTTACGATCTTCTCATCAATTCATAACTGAACCTATATTTGCCATTGAAGACATTATTTGTCCGCGTAATCCTCCTTTAGAAATGAAATTTACTAGTTCATGTTTACTATCACGTGAAACTTTACTAAGACAAACATTATTTTCCACTAAACCAAATAATTTATCAGACGATTGTTGGGACGCATTATTCTGCCTGTTACGATTGCCAGATCCATGGAATCCGACATGTCGTGCCCTTTGTTCTGAAATACCGTGTGAAGACATAATCAATATGACATGTCCAAGTATGATACATGTACCAGCGAAACCGATTGCCTTTGGTCATATCTATGTTGTTTACGATAAAGAGCAAACTATTAAGCAGCAACGTGGCATCATCTCACCACACTATATTTGTTATGACGATCGGTTGTGCAACGGATTCCTCTCCAACAAATCATTATTTTCTTACAACGGTAAAACATGTCGCCGACCAGAAGATTTTCCTTTGAACTATTCTTCATCTGGCCCTGGACGAGATAGTTGGTTAAATGCTTTTATTTTACCAATTATCAGGCAACTAAGTCAATGCAATACTATATTATACAATGATCCAACAATTTGTAACGAACAAGATTTCTATCAATGTTGGAACTCATCTAAATGTATTGCAAAGCATCGATTATGTGATAAGAGAACGGACTGTGATTATGGGGATGATGAAAAATGTAGTATAATCAATAATTCTAATTCGATATATAGTACAAATATGCTATCAGTGAGGCATCATATTTCATTTCCTACTATATGTGATGGTTTCACAGAACTATTACCCATTCTGATCGATGGACGTAATGACACAGACGAAACAGAATGTGAATATTGGCCATGTAATAATTCATATACACGTTGTGATGGTTTTTGGAATTGTTTGAATGGAGCAGATGAAGTCGATTGTAATGTACCATCATTATTGAATTGTTCATTACATCATCACATATGTGTTTCATCAAAGACAAATCGATTTATGTGTTTACCATTAAAAAAAGCTCATGATGGTCATGTTGATTGCTTAGGTGGTACAGATGAGCCAAGCAAGTGTCGAGCAACTGATCATCAACTTACAAAGAAAAATTTTCATTGTCTCACAGATCAAAATGAAACTTGTATTATTTCTACAGCGCTATGTTATTTTTATCAATGTAACGATGGAGCTGATCGACAACTTTGTGACAATGGCCGAAATCTTACACAATTTACTACTATTTGTAACAAAGAGTATGATCATATTCGTACAAATGTCGAAGACTTCTTTTGTAAACGTCCAGTTGACACAAAAAAACCAGCAACTGTATATTTTTCGTTGGAAAAAGAAAACAAATTAACTAAAGATTCAACAACATCGTTGATCAATCATACATGGAATATTTCCCGATATATTCATTTTAATTCCCAACATTGTCATCGTGGTCTATCTTTAACCGTTTGGTTAGATCATCAACATAATATAACAACTAAAACTTGTCTTTGTCCGCCTAGTTTCTATGGAAATAAATGTCAATATCAAAATCAACGTGTTAGTCTTACATTAAAATTTCATACGTATTCCGATTCACGACGTACAACGTTTCTTGTCAATGTTTTACTCATGGAAGATAGTCAAGAACGATTGATTCATTCGCATCAACAATTTAGTTATCTATACGTACGAGATTGTAAAACGAAATTCAATATGTATTTGTTATATTTATCACGACAAAAAGATCCAAACAAAGCCTATTTTATACATATCGATCTTTATGAAAAGATTTCACATACATATCGAGGTAGTTTTATGATACCATTGAAATTTTCTTTTCTACCTGTACATCGTCTAGCAGTACAACTTAATATTCCGCGTACATATGATGATATAGAAACTTGTTCAATTCTTCGGTGCGTTCATGGGCGATGTATCAAATACGCTGATTCATCTAATGGTAACAGTTTCTGTCTTTGTGATCGTGGATGGTCTGGTCGTTATTGTACGATTTCATATCATTGCACATGTTCACCTGACTCATTATGTATTGGTATCTTGCCAAATAATCAATCATTATGTATTTGTCCACATAATAGATGGGGCTCAAAATGTAATTTTCCTGCTACAATGTGCCGTATTGAACAGAATAATACATGTCAAAATGGTGGTCAATGTATATCAACTGATCAACATGTAATATCGAAGCAAACAATCAAATGTATTTGTCCCAGAGGTTTTACTGGAGACCGATGTGAAATCTTAGATAACAGAATTATTATCACATTCGATAAAAAAATACGTTTACCAGACAAAATTCTTATTCATTTTGTTCAAATATTTGATAATCGTTTACCGGAGTACGGCAATACTTTTAAAACAATACCTCTCTATCAAAATAATATTACAATCCATTGGTCACGTCCGTTTCATTTGATTTTTCTTAAAGTTTTTCATGATTACTATCTACTTCTCGCACAAAAAGTCTACGAAAAATCAACAACCAATCACCAAATTCTTCGAACAACAGATCGTTGTCCACATATAAATGAATTATTAAATGAAACAATCACTCATTATCATTTAATTCGTCGTATTAAATATTATCATATACCATGTCAAACTTCTTCACATCAATATTCTTGTTTCTATGATGAGAATCACTTTTGTTTATGTCAAAATTATGGAAAAACCCGTCTTGCAAATTGTTTCGAATTTAATTCATCAAAAAAATTTGATTGTTCTGGTCAAAGTAATTGTGAAAATGGAGCAGAATGTTTACAAGACAGTATCACTTGTCCACAAACATCGATCTGTGTTTGTCCAACATGTTTTTATGGAACACGATGTCAGTTTAATTCGGGTGAATTTGGTCTTTCACTTGATGCTATTTTAGGTTATCATATTCAACCAAGTTTAAATATAGATTCTCAACCATTTATTGTTCAATTTAGTTTAATATTAACGATGATTATGATGATTATTGGATTAATCAATGGTATTTTATCTTTGCTGACATTTAGTACAAAAGAAATGCATCAAATTGGTTGCGGAATTTATTTGAAAAGTTCATCAATTTCGACGATGTTAACAGCAATTTTATTTACATTAAAATTTTGGATACTTTTTCTTACGCAAATAAGAAATGGAAATCATCGAATTTTTTTAAAATTTCAATGTATTACAATGGATTTTTTCTTGCAAATCTCTTTGAATATCAATCAATGGTTAAATGCTTGTGTAGCTATTGAACGAGCACTAATGGCAATTAATGGAACATCATTTAATAAAAAGAAAAGTAAACAAATAGCAAAATTTCTTACGACATTTGTGATTTTCTCGAATATAATTACAACTATTCATGATCCGATTTATCGTCAACTGATTGATGATGATGATGATGATAATGACGAAACGAAGAAACGAATTTGGTGTACCGTTCTTTATCCATCTTCGGTGCAAAAATTTAATACAACTATGAATTTATTTCATTTTTTAGTGCCATTTCTTATTAATGCGATGTCTGCTTCAATCATTGTGATCGTGATAGCCCGTCAGAAAAAAGCTTTTAATACAAAAGAAAGCTATTATGAACAATTGAAAAAAGAATTTCTACAACATCGTCATTTGATTATTACAGCAATCATTTTAGTTATATTAGCGATACCACGATTAATTTTTTCTTTTGTTTTTGGCTGCATGAAATCTATCAGTGAACCATGGCTATTTTTAATCGGATACTTTATCTCTTTCATACCATCTATGTTAACATTTGTAGTATTTGTTCTGCCATCTACAACTTATAAACAATATTTCAAGAAGATATGTGATCGATATAAAAGCGACATACAGAGACGATTACGTTGCCAAAATTAACGATAAACAAGAGATTTGTTGGAGTAGATTAAAAACGTGATACTTCTATTAGTTGAATCAGAATCTAGTCTTTTTAACTACTTGACTGTTAGCAACGTATACATTCGACATGTTCATTTTTATGCAAAAAATAAAGACTGTAATTTCTTAAAACGATTTTCTTTGTATGCTTTGGGTTTGCATTAACATTCTACATGTACTGAAACCTACCGTTCGGACTCTGATACTTCATATAGAAAAGAAGTGAAAGACGTTGTGCTGTGGAAAGTGTAAGTTTCGAAGCGATAAAGCGTGATTACAGATAAATACCTAGTATTGTGTTGAGAATAAATGATGGGTGGTAAATTTCTGGTGAAAAGCAGATATTAGAAAGAGAACTTTTTTCAAAATTGGTTTCAATTTGAGATTTCCCATGACCTCATACTTTTTACTGTTTTCATAAAAACGACTTTTTATCAAAAATGCAAAATAGAAGTTTAGATGACTATCCTATTCTATAAGATTCTCTTATTAATATTATTCTCCATGTATCAAAACAGATTTGAATAATTTCCACTCGTCAAATGCCATAAATCTGAAAACTATGTAGTCTAATCCAGAAATATCTCTATCGTATATCAAGGTAACAGTGTAGACTTTAATACATTCATACGTAGAAAATTTTATAAGATCGATTATCAAAGACAGAATGACGTTAGCAGAATATTTTTATGCTCTCATGATTTTATTTTTTAATTCTGTTTGTTCACTTCGAAAATGTCATGTCAAGCAGTAGAGTTGTAAATAAATAAAAACATTTGGGTTTTTCAATGTTTCTCTTCATTTTATATAACTCCCCGTGTATCTCAAGAAGTAGCAAATTTGATTATGCCTCTCTACGAAATAACACCATCAACATTTTTTTCTCTGTTTAGTAAAAGTATTTTTGCTGACATTTATTCCCAACGGAAAGTTTTTACCACCAACACTGCTTTCATCCATTCTCACTCGCGTTTCTGTTAATTTTCCCATGAGAAATAGACGAAAAAGAGAAAAGATAATTTTACATCAGTTATCATAAATTAGTGAACCTACCCATCTACGTCAAGGTAGAGAGAAAAAAAGAAAAGATAATTAAATAATAAAAATTATCCTTCACTCATAAATACTTCACTTATATGAAGCATCATTTTAGTCATCATTTCTGATTGAGTTAATCTTTATATAACTGCGTCATTTGAGATACAAAAATGGAATTTTATCTTAACGATGAGTTTCATAAGGGAGTTGTTAAAAGTGCATTTATCTGGTCTGAAGAATCAATGATATTTGCATTATATAAATGTTTTGCATAAGCTTTAGTTCTCATTTATGATAATTGAACAGAATGTTTTCGCTTTGTGCTACATGTTTTCAGTAATTTTTAGATTTTTCAGTGGTACGATTAGTCAAAATATATCGTCATGTTGCTCGTATACGTTTCTCAACAAGGTACAATTTGCTATGGACTCTTTATTTTTATCATCGGTGTAGTGGGTAATGCAATAAATATTTTTATTTTTGGAAGTGTTCACAAGTATCGTACAACAGTATCTACATTCTATTATCTTATTGGTTCAATTGTGAACTTTATTTTAATGTTTACTAATGTAGGTATGCGCATTGTATATGATGGATTTGTTTTTGAACCAGGTAGTAATTCAAATGCCGTGTGTAAAATCAGACGATTCTGCAATATTACATTCGGTATGATGTCGCTATGTTTCTCATGTTTGGCTACAATCGATCAATATTTTGCTACATCACCAAATGTTCGTGTACGTAATTGTAGTAATATTAAATGGGCCCATCGTATTACAGTTATTGTTATTATCATTTGTTGTTTACATGGTATTCCTTACCTTATCTTTGCTAATCTTTCACCAGTCACCGGTGTTTGTCGATATATAGATGCTATCTTCGAAGTTTACGTACCACTATTCATTGTGATTGTGCTCGTAATTATAGTTGGCATTGTGATGATCAGTTTTGGATGTTTAGCATTTCGAAATATTGAACAAACAACTATATTGGCTGATCAAGGAGCTCAAAAACAACTAACAAGAATGATCTGCATGCAAGTGATATTAGTTGTCTTTTGTCTTGCTCCCTATGGTATTTTCAATATCTATATGTGGTGCACATCTGGAATAAGCGTCACAGCAAATCCTAATTCTATACAAGCTGTTGTCTCACAACTGTCTGGTCTCTTTATGTGGACTAATTATGCGGTATATGTAATTCATTGTATAGAAATTGTTCATAATCTTTTCTTTTAAATTTAGGGTAGTTTCTATGTTTTTCTCATCGCTTCTAGTAGTTTTCGTCGAAGAGTAAAATGTCGATTCCTTTGTTGGCGAAATAAAAGTAGAATCAAGCCAACTGATCAAATGTGACAATTCTAGACTAAATGTTCTCTTACATATATTTGTTGTATCGTATTTCAAATAAAACATCTAATCAGTCACATTCGTGAACGCTTTTCGAGCATTGAGGCAATGAAAGTGAAATACAATAATATCTTTTTTTCAAACAGGCCAATGTAACATTCATGATTTCGTCTCATAGACTTGGTCGCGATCAGTCGCACTCGTCCAAGTAAAAAATTATATAGTCTATTTTTCACCTTTTAACTCTTTCTATTCCTAACCAGTTTCATAAGTCCTAGGACCTAAAACTTGGTTTACAACATTTGGGTGTGTGTGTGTGTGTCTATCTATCTGCCGCAGGTCTTAGGTCAAAGATCAAGTTATATTGATAACAGCAAAACTTTATAAAACATGGTTTTTGAGCGGTGTTGCAGGCGGATGTTGACAGTAGTGGGCTAAGATAGGGTCGGGTCAAGGATCAAAAAAAGATATTCTTCATAATTGCCCACAACATCGAAAAACATGGATTTCGATGAAAGTTTAGCAAAAGCGCCATATATTTTCCAGATTACAAACAGAGCTGCGGCATCACGGGATAAGACTGAGAAAGTCCAAAAAGCACAGCAGCTTTGCGCTGAATATGCCAAAAACGGTTCGGAAAACCAAGCAACGAGTTCTAAGCCAGACGGGCTGCCACACCCAAGGAAACACCGATGGACCTAAAGAATGCTCCGAATTTCACAGACACCCAGCGTATTAAGGCACTGACACCAAAATATCCCGCATCTCAGAAAAGACGGCAGAGCTGAGACCAACTACATACCTCATAAAACATTCATAGTCCGCGACACAGAAGAAAACTATGAGTGACGATCTTCAAGACCGCAGCTCATAGATTTCACCAAACAAAACCCCCGATTAACTACCTCCGAGCGCGACATTATTGTACCTAGCCATAAGACCCCACATACCCTCAACACACCGAGTCGAAAACCATTCCACTACACCAAACACAAAATACCAACACAATTCCCGAGCATTACTGAATCAGGATTCAAAATACGGATCCGGTTCAGTGGAGAGTAGCCGAAGTCCGGCGTCTCAAACCTTGCACGTATTACAAATGTGATATTTGGATTATCCATCAAAGCATATTAGTCGATCTGTATTTTTCTAAATATATTTAAACTAGAATAAGATGATTTCTTCATGTTTGAGGAATTTTCGATGCTTTTTAAGAAGTTCACTGATTTCAGCATAGGTCCACAGGAAATTCAAGTTATCCTGGTGTACATTTTCACACTTTATTCACTTCTTCAGCTCCGTCAACTTCCTTTACTCCTTTAACTCCTTTTATTCTCTTAAGTAGCTGCGATTTCTTTAGGTTTGATGAGTTGCTTACGTTTACTGACTATTTTCACTAAACATGCTGTGTCATTTGTCCTGGCTTTTTTGATACTACAAGAGAAATCGTAAAAAAGCATCGAGCTAAAAAAGGACAAAGAAAAATATATCAACATATATTACATGTAGAGGATATATCTTATATTTCTACACCTTGTCCATGTTTTGGGGTTCGATTGGGTGGGTGGACGATATAATATTAATCACCAAAGTATTCGAGATAAGTATTAGGATAGGAACAGGAGTTGGATGTTATTTTGTGTACAAGCATTTTATGACTGTAGGTGAATAGGTGAGAAAGATCAGCTATGATCTTGATAGTGAACTCAAATCACTCTCTATGTTGCATCTTTTCTTTTTCTGCTAGTCATGAATTTTTATTTAGTCATCATTCTGCATTATTCCCTCCGCTGAAAGGAGGATGTACACAGAATTTGAACTAAAATTCGTTCGTCTATTCATGCACTCTACATTGACGAAATAACAGCCTATACTACTGACTAAGAAAGCTTAACTAACGAGAGAACCGCCCAAGGTGATTAATGGTTTCTTTTTTGAGTCAATGCTTTATTTGTAATTAAACAAGCAGTTTACAGGAAAGGGAGAGAGAAGAAAACATACAACGGATAGACTGGTTATAAAGCTAGCAGAAAAGAGAAGAGACGCATGATTTATGTCTTATGTCTCTTAACGGGTTTAGATCTCATCTATTGGTGGTAGATAGTCGTCGATGAGGTATGAAATGCCTCAAGAGGATTCGTGCCCATGAGACTTTTATCTAGAGTTACTATATATGTTTTACTGAAATTTTCAGAGCATTGTTCCTATCTCGAGGCCTATCTGTACCCAAAGATTCAGTTCTAAATGCTCGTATTTGATTTGTTGGTAGATACCTAGCTATATGCAAAGATTTCAGTAAAACATATATAGTAACTCTAGATAAAAGTCTCATGGGCACGAATCCTCTTGAGGTTTTTCATACCTCATCAAGGACTATCTACCACCAATAGATGAAACCTAAACCCGTTAATCACCTCGGGCGGTTCTCTCGTAAGTGTAAAACGAACGTGTCAGATGCACATATTTTGTTGTGCGAAAAGCATATCTTGTTGATATATGTTAGTGTTAAAACGGATGAACAGCTACGTTTATACACATATTACAATTGTAGGCAAGATCGACATAGACGCCAAAAACAAACTTTCTATTTTAATTTATCAACTAGCCTGTTTTCAAAATCGATCGACAGAAAGGTTTCAAGAAAGAAAATGATTGTCATTCAGTTGAAGTTGAAATAACGATGTTGAAGGTGGTGAAACATTGCAAAGCAGAGCGTACCGGTCAATGTGTAGATATAGAAAGACGTTGAATGAGTAAGATGTACCAAGAGAACAATCAGGGAATATCTCAAGTTTTCGACAGTCACACGATATTGACTTTTCGATACATTAACCGTTACACTAGCGTGTGAACGGTAGAGTCCAAATGGCAAATCCAATACCAAAACGCACGATACCTAAAACAATCAATCCATATTATTTTTATTTTCAGCTCTGTGAAATGTCTTGAATAATCTGAATAAATAACATTCGCGTGAGATTACGACCGTTTTTCCGTGCTAAAACTAATTGCTGTGTTGTTCGAACAGCGTGTTGAAACGAATTTATTGTTGGATGAATGATTTTAGAGCGCGTATTGCGAATAGTTAGTGTTTCAAAGATGGTGACAACGATACTTGGGAAAACGATATCTACGCCCAAGTATACCCAATCATTAATAATTCAACAGGAAAAATCTCGGCCATAGCAAGAAACAGGGACATTGGGAATTTTTGCTTCCACACAATGGAATACCCCCAGAAAAGGCAAATGTAAAGAAAATGAAAATACTCATGACAACGCATTTTGCTGGTCGATGTGTACTCAGCTGACGATAAGCAACTGATTGATGACTACACAAAAATCGATCAATATTTGCTGCAACAAGAATCCAAATAGCTGATGACCAACTAATGTTCAGTAAATACAAATGCGTTTTGCAAAGAGGCTGATTTTCATTGGGCCAATTGATGTTGTAACTACAATTCGGGTCTACCATCATACTGACATTCTCCAATTGGTTTTCTTTTAAACTTACCCTCGAAGGACTTGCGTTAATAATCCTGACAAGGTAAATACGGTAGCTGATAGTGAAGACCAACAGAGGTAGATTGTACATAGAATCTTTTTGAGAGGACGCTCTCTTAGAATACAAATGTTCAATACATTACTGACTGTGCCAAAAAGAATTAAAATTGTAGGTCCATGTCGATTGATTTGCATTGTGATGTAGTTTATGGATGACACCAGATCACTACTATTTGACATTATTCTGCTTTTGCTTCGAGTAACTTACAAGCGATAAAATACGATTCGACCTGGAAATGTGTCTCCTCTTTTACCTTTCGACTGTTCATAAAGTACTTTTATCATCGAATGTGTCCGCGAAGGAAAATATAAGGAAAGCTGCAGATGTCACAGTATGATAGGATTAAAAAATTGATGAGAACGAACACATGGATCATTAGAAGAAAAGAAGTATCGCATGCCGAAAGAAAAAACTTATCTTAGTGATGATGTAACGAATTTTTTACTGGCGTGAGTTGTTAAGATTTTGCAGAATGATGACATGATATGATAGATACGAACGTCGGATATCCTTCGAATAGATCACTAGACGCCTGCTGTGTATTAGGAAAAATGAGGACGACAGTTGTATTATTTTCAGATTACGCGACGCAAATCAAATTATAAATATAGAGAGTTCGATTTCGCATAGGTACTGCTACATGTGTTTATCCAAGCGACACTCATGCCAAACTTGCCTGGTTGAAACTGAATGACTTGACATTAATTTATGAGAAAGGTCATGTCATTGAAAAAAATGACTTCGAATCGCCAGGGCTACTTCACACTATTATTGTTTGTTTTCATGAATTTCATTACAATAACAAATTAAGTAGTGTACTTGGCCAGAGACGGACAAACCGCATATTTACTAAATTCCGGACTGTAAACAATAGATATTTGAGCAATTTAATTTTTGAAAGCTAGTCGCATTTCCCAATTTCCCTTGGTCGTTTAACTTATCATAAATCGATTCTCTATTAATCAGTAATTTTAATTCGAAAAACAGCGACATGGATATTCATATACATTGCATAATGCATGGAATTTGCGTAGAAGTGTGAGCTGCTTTTTTATTTTCTGATTAGTTTGGTTAAAGTTTTCACAATATTCACTATGAAAATCTCATGAAAACAAATAATGATAAAATATATAATACCAAAGATGTTTTTATATGATTCGACTGATTTCCAAATAATTCATGGACACCTTCCCGTTCAATTTGGTCAAATATGTCACAGTTTCCAGCCCACAAAACTGACGCGAATTCTTGGAAAGGTGTTATATAAAAATATTTCGGTGCTGAAAAATCATAAACTGACCATGATGATAACGGTTTTCCATCTTTTGCTATACTAACCCAATGCTGAATGATCTGATTCGAAAATATCCGTGATTGATTATCCCAAGTGCAATTGAGAGAATTCGATGATTCGTAACTACTTATCGTTCCAAAAACGAACGGAATTTCAGACGTATGAGTACAAATACCCGCGCCTTGTTCAAGTGAAGATTGAGGACAAATTCCTGGATTGCAATTCAAATGATACCAGAATACATTTGGCTTTTTATTCGATTTCAAATATGAATTTCGATAGATTCGACGTACGTTACAATCAAACATTTTATCTGTTACAATTGAATTGAATAAATCACAACAACGATTAGTTGAGTTTTGATTTGATGAGCATTTATTAACTCGATACGAATTGGTAACAACTGGTACCCATTTTTGACCCATCGATGAAACTAATAATGTATTTAACTCAGTTGAATTCATTTGAGGAAATACAAAACAAAATGCATTTTCATCATTATTATTTCCGAAAATTAAACTTAAATTTTCATTATAATTTCCATTTTCAATTGCTAAAGGTGGATAAAATGGAAAAAAGTAATCATCAATCACCGGTTTTGTTTGACGATGACCATATGCACTATCCAAATCTTCGAACGAAACTTTGCGTAAACAATCAAGTTTCATTTGACTATCATTATTCGAACAATTAACATTTTGAACAATTTCATTTGATAAATTGAGGGCATTACTCATATTTGTATAATATAAATAATTACCTGAACCACCTGACTGAGAAATCACATGTTGATACAGATTTGATGATCCTTTCACAGCGCCAAGATCAACAACTGCATTCGCACCTGAACTTTCTCCGAATAGAAGTACATTATCTTTATCGCCTCCAAAGTCACGAATATTCACTTTAATCCAACGTAGAGCGGATAAAATATCTTGAAGAAAATAATTTCCAGAAGTTGGCCATTCAGTTCGATTTTCTTCATTTAATTCTTTTAAATACAAATCACCCAACACACCTAATCGATAGTTAATTGTTACAACGACTATTGACTGCCGAGGCGAATTCGCGATGATATTCGTTCCATTGTACAATAATGGAATACTTTGGGAAGAACAACCAGACCGTAAACCACCTCCGTGTACCCAGACAAGAACTGGCAATAGAGATTGACGAGATACGGATAAAGGTGTAAAAATATTTAAATAAAGACATTGCTCATCTTGTGTAGGAATATAAACATTACTGAGTCTTTGCAAACAACATGGACCGAATGATGTGGCGTCAAATGAACCATTTGGATACATGTCCAAGGAAAGATCAATTGGTGGTTGCCATCGATTAGTTTTGGCATATTGAATTCTATTGGAACAAGAAAAATATTTAGAAATTGAAAAATTCGATGTGTTCGAACCCGAGATATTCCATTGAATATGTTGTTTTTCGACCATTGATTATTCCTTTTCGAGTTTCAAGAGCAACACTTATTGTATTTAATATCAATATGATTATGATTGAAAAGTAAAGCGTAGAACGCTCCATTTTCAATTTAATCAGTGAACACTTCAATCTAAAAATGCTTTCTTCGAATAAAAGAAGGTCGATTCTATATGACGAAGAGTGATTCTTCGATCAAATCGTATGAAGGATTAGATGTAAAACGAAAAGCAAATTCATATGAATAATTTGGTATTATTCTATATTTATTCGGTGATTAAAGGATTTCGTTGGATTTTTCTTCTCAAGGTTAAGTTGGATGTACCGAAAAACTAAATGTACAAGCAAAGATAAGTGAAACTTAATCAGAGTGAACATTGATCGTAAGAACAGGATTAAAACATTTTGCGATATTGTTTTACTATGAATCATCAACAAATTCTGACCGTTCATGAAATCTCTCCATGCAATAGAAAGTTCTTTTAATCAGCGAGAGAGTTGTTTTTTAGTTATGCATTTGCCCGTGCTTAATCATATATTTTAATGTTTATCACGGTGTAAACGGAGACTGTGATTCACACGAATTACACTTGTCAAAATGTAATTGTTCTAATGCGATACATCACACTCGGAAAATTTTATTGAAATTGGATTGGATTAGACAAGCATATTTGGAAAACTTTTGTCTTTTTAAACTGGATGAATAGTTTCAATAGTCAAGCTTTCGACGGTTCACATCGAGAAATCTGTTGAATCATTAGCGACATAAGTTTCTAATATTGAAAATCGATTTAATTCGATCAAATAAAGCTTGTCTAAAAAGACTTCCTCCAGTTAATGTAAAAATATAAAAATTGAATTGCACTTGCTAAATAGGTTAATAAAAGAACAATATTATAAATAAATATATCGATTGTTGCTTGTAATTGGGCATAAGATGAATCAGCAAAAACTGTATATAATCTTTGAGTTGCTTGAGGAACAGTCAAACTTCCAAGAAGACAAACTTGAACTAGAGTCATTTGAAGTAAACTGCAATCGGTTTTTCTCGATTAATTTTGAGATTCATTAAAAGTTGATGAGTGAAGGTTTGATATTGTTGTTGTTGTCATTTGTAAAACACGACGCTGACTTTGACGGAGAATACATCCTATTCCGCAATGTTGAACATTTGGGAACCAGTTCCGTATCCGGAATCGATTCCAACCGATTCCGGAATTCCATCTTTCACAACCATAGACAATTGCGACATTCGGTAATGCTACCTTCTACACAGTTGTTTTCTTCCATTTCCATACATATACATATACATATGTCTTTCTTTTACTCTTTCTTTCCTGTCGTTTTTAGTTTTCGTTTGATTATCATGTCCGTTCTAATGATGATCTCTGCGATTGTATTTCTTCTTTGTTTTCTTCTTTGTCTCAGATTATCTCCGATTTGTATATATATTGTTGGTTTTCTCTTTTCGATCAGTCTTTTGTTATCGTTTTCTTTAGTGTTTTACTCGATTTCATCCAATAAAACACCCTTATCATCTCATCCACATCCATTCGTTCGATTAGTCGATTCAGCTTACGATATCGTCGGTAGCTGGAAGTTTCATCAGATCCCCTGATACAAGAGACTCACATTATTAAGCAAATTCTGATGGTAAATCTTCGTCGTTTGGTATCTTTCGATTTCATTAAAGAAATAATTGTTTGTCGTACAGAAAATGAAATAATTCATCGATTACACATTATTTTAGTTGTAGCCATTCTTAGCATGTGTTACATATTTTCGACTTTTACTCCACGTATAATAACTATTTCAACGGATAAACCTTCATTGAAAAGTTACGAAGATTTATCTAAGCAATCATACTATACATTCGAATGTCCATGTTCACATTTATATGAGTACCCAGGTTATTATGGCACGGTCTGTTCCAGCCGGTTAGGTCCGTTTTCTGATCATTTTCTTGGCGCCGGATTCCGGCCGGAAGTTCAAACGTACGTTCCAGTCATTTACTGACCGTTTCCTGCAAACTTCGAGCTGCAAACGGTCAGGAACTACTCGGATATTTTCTGTGCAATTCCGGCCGGAATCCGCGAAAACTCTGCCGGAATCGACTCAGATTTCAACGGATCCATTCGCCAGAATGATCGACCTGGGTCTTCTTATTATTATTCTAGATGCATCAGATACAATTGACATTCGCACAATAGTGAGAATATTACACTGCATCAAAGAGACGCTAGACAACTCCATGTGAGTATCATTGCCCAAACTTTCACATATAGTTCTTTAACATAATATTCATCTAAAGTACATACGTCATTTCATACAACTTCTGAAGCGCAAACTAAACACTATGGCTAAATTCTGTTGAAATCTTTATAATTTCTTCTACTTAAATTTCCAAACAGCGTAAAAATCCTATATGCTGATTCAGATGCTTGAATAAGGTCAAAACTTTACTCGTAGCAATCTGAATTTATAGAATACCCCACCGTCACCTAGCATATGTTAAGCATAATTTATTTCTTAAAAAGTCAAAAGAAACAATTTCTTGCTGAAACTTCTTGTCTGAGTTTATGCTACGACTCATAAGCGAATAGTCTGATCCTTTGGCATGTGTTCCTGAAACTATCATTTCCAAGAATGCGTCATCTACACTTAGCACTGTGCACTAACGCCGACACTGCTTGCACCGGAGTTAGCGGTAACTATATCGGGTCTATTGTCATCGTTCACATCGACGACTACCAATGAGAATGGAGCACTGCCAGTTACATAAGTAGTTCGACAACAAAAGGTCCCAGTGCCTGTGCTAAGCAGAACACTCGCAGTGTTTGTATCCACGTTAGCGGTAACTATATCGGGTTTGTTGTCATTATTTACATCGATGACTGCTACTGAGTATGGACTACTGCCAGTTGCATACGTAGTTTGAGCAGAAAAGGTCCCGTTGCCGGTATTGAGAAGAACACTGACATTGCTTGCACCATAGTTAGCGGTAACAATATCGGGCTTGCTGTCATTGTTCACGTCGACGACTGCTACTGACACTGGACCATTGCCAGTTGCATACGTAGTTTGAGCAGAAAAGGCCCCGTTGCCGATATTGAGAAGAACACTGACATTGCTTGCACCATAGTTAGCGGTAACAATATCGGGCTTGCTGTCATTGTTCACATCGACGACTACCACTGAGTTCACTTGAGTGCCAGTTGCATAAGTAGCTTGAGCAGAAAAGGCCCCATTACCTGTATTCAGAAGAACACTGGCAGTACCTGCAGCATAGTTAGCAGTAACAATATCGGGTTTGCTGTCATTATTCACATCGACGACTGATACTGACACTGGACCATTCCCAGTTGCATACGTAATTTGAGCAGAAAAGGTCCCATTACCTTTATTCAGAAGAACACTGACAGTACTTGTAATGTAGTTAGCCGTAACTATATCGGGTTTGTTGTCATTATTTACATCGGCGACTGCCACCGAGCGTGGACTACTGTCAGTGGCATAAGTAGTTTGAGTAGAAAAGGTTCCAGTGCCTGTATTAAGAAGAACACTGACAGTGTTTGCACCGGAATTAGCGGTAACTATATCGGGTTTATTGTCACTATTCACATCGACGACTGCTACTGAATATGGACTACTGCCAGTTGCATACGTAGCTTGAGCAGAAAACGTCCCGTTGCCGATATTGAGAAGAACACTAACAGTACTTGCACCGGAATTGGCGGTAACTATATCGGGTTTATTGTCACCATTCACATCGATGACTGCCACCGAGTATGGACTACTGTCAGTTGCATAAGTAGTTTGAGCAGAAAACGTCCCATTACCTGTATTCAGAAGAACACTGACAGTACTTGCACCGGTGTTAGCGGTAACTATGTCGGGTTTATTGTCATTGTTTACATCGATGACTGCCACTGAGTACGGTTGAGTGCCGGTTGCATAAGCAATTGCGGTGATGAACTTGTTGTTAGACCCTATAAGTGAAAGAACGTTTTTATTAGTTAAAAATATGTAGAAATGAGCGTGCATCAGAGTTGTCTTTTGCAGTTGTGAGTGTTTTATAGTTTTCCTCGTCTCATCGTTTGAGAAAGTTCGTGTACAGTGAATTATAGAACTAAATGATCGTATAACGTACCAACAAAGTTACGTTTTCGAGCTCTCAGTCTGTTGTAGATTGATGCATCATTAGTTGAAATAAGAAGCAGTCTCAAAAGTCCGCTTTGTTTCATCTATAACGAATAGCCACTTCTGGCATTCATAACCGTTTGTATGAGTTGCAACTCTAGTCTAAAAAATTTTCTCGCGGACGCTTAGTTTGAAGAAACTCTATAGTCCTTTTCACACATACACAGCTCCAGTTACAGTGTGAGATTAGTTGTAGACGGCGAACTTGGCTTAAATGGTAGAGTCGTTAAGTCGTGTGCGCAAGCGAATGGAATTAGAAATGGCTCTCAGATGTACGACTGAAACTGAGAAAATGTATCCTTTTCCTTTGCTTCTTTAAGCTAGTTTGTCACTAAAGTTATGGGAACGCTAGTATTTTTGTGTTGGGAAATACCAGCACACCGTTGTGAAAAATGTTTTAGCTTGGCTTTGGCTGTAGGATTGATAGTTTTCGTGTAAAAACAAGTAACATGTGATAATTGCTTTGGTAATGTTATTTCTATGCCACTGTTTCAGAGTCGTGTTAGTTGTTGAATTAATAATGATTCTAATTACACTTTCATATTAATGCTCGAAGTACAAGAGAGATTCTAAAAACTGTCGCCGTAGCCTGTTGACAACTTCGTCATGAATTATGAAGATTTTCTGAATCTCTTGTAAATAGCCGCCTATGAATGTGAACACACTTTTTTGTCTATCTTGTGCAGCAAAATAAATCGATAAAACTTCTTAATTGGCTTTGAAAAGTTACTGTTTGATTAGATTGATATTTAGAACGAATCGAGTGATGTTTTTTCGAATAGGTATTTACCCGTTATTTTGGAGTACTAAGCAACAAGTCAGAGCGAAACAGTGCTAGCTCTATCCAGCTTAGTTTAGGTTAACTATACATTACTTACCTGATGTGATGACGATAGAACAGCGAATATTAGAAAGCCATAGTGGAGTAGAGAAAAAGAAATCTATCCATAACCTTGTTCTGCAACTACTATTAGTTAACTCCACAATCTGCTTATTGGTGAGTTATGAACGTCATGACAAACTAATCTTCTGCTTCCTAATAAAATCTCATCTACAGATTATGCGCATCTTGCTCATTTCCATTATGATTTTCATGCACTTCGTTCATCTACAATCGATATACAATACTCATAGGGTTCATTTGAGAAAGCGGAACATTTTCACAGATACTTAACGATGGAATCATCCGAAATGAGTGGCAACATATTAGACTTTGACCCTATTACATTAAATAAGTCTTAGCTGAGTATAAAAAATTGAAAAAATATATATGTTCATGGTTTTCCCTATAAATTTATGTACGCCTCACTGAAGTTTCAGTTTACAATATTCAACATGTCCAAACATTAAATGATTGTACGACAAGAACAAGATTTATTATCAGATACTTCGCTTTGGTAAAAATTTCCATATTTCATGAAACACAAAATAGACCCATGCTTAGTTTAAAAGTCTGAGATCTGTGATTTTGCAGACATTCGAATTATCATTAGAAATATAGAGACATATCTGAAAAAGACAATAATGCTCTGACTTTCTATACTATCTGATATTACTTCAATTGATATCGAAATAATAGAAGCTGGGTACGATCTGATATTTTATGTTATGTAACCGTTATGCTAACATCTATTTATTCGAGTATTTTATCAATAAGTTTGGAGCGAAATTAGACAAATACCTTCAACTATTACGATTAGAAAGCAATGAGGAATATACATAGAATGACGTACTGTATATTTTTCTAAATGTTATTTACTATTTCTTCAATAATTGTTTCCAATATTAAAAACAAATTTCGTGTCATATGAACTGTCAACAGAAAAATTACTTCTGATCTTATCTACGGTATCTATGACTTCTGAAGAACTGATAACATATATGTAAGTTTTCCAAGCTTTTATCTGTTTTATATAGGCGATTTAAATATATATATATATGACCATTGAGACTTCATTGCAAATACTTCACAGAATAGATTGGTTTTGAAAGGGAACAAATGGCATCTTCAATAGACCATGTAGATGAGTCCACAATATTCGATCGTTACCATTCGATGTATGTATGTAAACAAGGTGACTCGTTCAGGATTTTTTTCTCATATCACGTAACTTAGGTGAAAATTCATGCAAAAATAATACACATTATATGCTGTTTACATAGAAATATTTGACGCAAACATTATGAACACCGCAGTTTACTTATACTATTGTAAAATGTCACTCGCGAGATTTGACTTGTCTATAGTTTTTCGACAATCGTTCTTACGGCGTAGAAAAAGAAAAGCTAGTGATTACCATCAGTTAGGCTATCTTCGATACGCCTTTCAAAGATTATCGAATGCCGTCAAAATATCCACGATTTTCTCATTTTTGCGATACATTTGAATTACTCCACTGACAACGCGCAACTTTATTCCTAGCACTAATGCTACTTAAGATTGTATTTGAAATGGACTTAGAGGGAGATTTTTAACTCGAGTTGTTCATTTCTGATATGCAAGACAGAATATTGTTGCCGTGACAGATGCAAAACTTTCAAGTACATATCTTTCTACATTTCATACCGTTTCTTAACCCGAGGACATTGTGTGAACCGTTATTAAACGAAGCAATAAAATATTACACACGAAAGCCGCTATTTTCTACGATAAACATAGTCTAATTGATTGTACAATGAGGAAACAATTATAGACGTAATAACAAAATGCTTTGGCTCCAGAGATATTTGATCATCGCTGTCAAGGATATTTTGAATTTTTCTCTGAATAACAGGTATAAGATATACTGAAATATTATCGGAGTGAACCTTTTGTTATTCTAAATCTTATCAGAGATCACTGCAACCGACAAATTAAGGAGATCGTATACTACCCAGCTTTCCTCGGTGGAAAAAACTTTCCGTGTCACTCAGTAGTTTTAACTGCAGTATGTGTATAATGAATCCAGAATCTCTGTTTCAATGATTGGTCCCTCCTCAAGTTCTTCAAAACTCAATTCGGCTTTTGAAGAATTAATCAGTATTTTTGTGCACAAAAACGGACTTTTTTTTATTGTTTTTAGCGATGGAGATCCGTGAAGGTAGGGTAAAAAGCTGTTTCTATGCTATGGCAATCTTAAAAACATCATGCGAATTCCGAAAATAAATTTTGCTCCCGAGAAAACGTTTTAGGTTAATAATTGCAGAAAAAATTGGGAGCACTAGAAGAACTCTGAGAGATTTCATATGTAAGATGATTCAAAAGATCCAGATCTTCTATTGTGTAAGGAACTTATGATAACTCATTGTTCAGCGCATAGAAAATGATAATTATTTCGTTTGTTACGTACCACAAACTGATACATCTGTTGATATCGAGGATACTGAGGCCGAACTAGTTGATGTCGAGCTTGATGTTGTCGATGTTGAGCTTGTTGTAGTTGATGTGGAACTTGTTGGTGTTGAGGTCGAACTAGTTGATGTTGAGCTCGTTGTAGTTGAGGTTGAACTTGTTGATGTCGTGGTTGCTGACGTAGTACTTCCTGATGTCGAGGTTGGTTCTTTTTTGTATGAAAAATAAATATCAAAATGAGAAGAAAGGATTCAGCAAGGCATAATTACAAACTATAGTATGGTTTATTTAGACACTATGAATATCTCTCACTTTTAGTGAATAACGGTAGCTTCTCATGTTTACCTCAATGTCTTCGACTCCTCCTTTTCTACAAGAATGTGGGTGTAGATTAAGACAACGACAATACCTGCCCACACCCATACTGCACTGACAGTATAGAGTGTGAAAGTCCTTTTCTTGAGAATCAAAATAGTCGTTTCACATGAGTTTGGGTTTTAGTTTACTCACGAAAAACGTATTGATCTAGCCTCTTGAGTATAATTAAATCTAACTGTCTCTCAAAACGAGAATAAATGATCCGTGAAAATATAGTTCTAGTAAAAAATAAAACAGTGAAAACGATTTGGAAATACGTGTCATGGATTTCATCAAAGCCAAAATAGAGATTAAATTGCAATCTTCTATTTCTCATTTATCAATAGACGTAGGATGACGAGCTGGAGGTGTTTAATGTGAATGTCCGCAAACTCCTAAACTTTCAGTAATCTTTTTGCCCGTCACTATTTTAGACTACACTCATATCTAGTTCTAGGCAAGCTTTATCGAAGGTTTGACATATCTGCAAAGACCTTCATGAGGCGACCCAAAGTCGCCACTAGCTAAGTGCGAATCAATCTATATGCGATGCGACTATTATATGTCTTATCTATGATTAATTATAACTTTACTAACCTGGTGGCATTCGTGTTCCAGAGATGGCTATCATTGTTGTGGCCTCTATGTTTACTTGGAAGTTGTTATTTTGATCTACGATGTTGATAAACGATTGACATTTCCCTGTTTTCTCTTGAAAAGTAATTGCTTTACATTGAAGTTGCTGTAAACAGTGGATTTGACATTCGAGGATGTTTAGTGTAGTAGTAGTAACGAATGGTAAACAAGTTGAGTTAGCACATTGAAATTCCAATCCGTTCATGGCTGTCATTGTAAACGACTTGATATCTTGCATGAGCGATTGTTCGAAAAGACCGAACAAAAGGAATATTGAAATTCTTATCCAGCCCATAACTATTGTAGTCAAACTTTCACTTGACAACAACAACAATTGTATTTAAAATAAAATGAATACCATCTGCTACTAGTAGCTGCTTTTTATTCTGTTTTTTTTCTCTCTCTTCCGTAATAAAAATCTACTGTTTCTCTGCACCAATAGTTTTAAAAAAGTCATGCCTTGGTCTAATATTCAAAATTACCATATGAAAAATTCATGATGAGAACGATGTGCGAATTTCTTTCAATCATTTTGAATAAGTCATGCGCTCAAAAACCACTGTTGCTTCATAGTAGCTGCACAGTTAGTGGGCGAAACTGCACATCCATTTTCTTTCTGTTCAACGTAGGAGAAAAAAAAGGAATGAGTCAACATAAAGGAGAATGTGTTATTATAATGAATATTTATCTAACGTAAGACATTTTTGCAACAGATTCGACTCTTCCAGGATTTATTTGTTATGATATGCAATCTAAATCTGTTTTCATGCGTTTCAAGTCAGAATTCGACGAGTTCTATCGATTCCAAACAAAAATATTCATAGATCCACGAAAAAATGTTTTTATCATTGTGTATCTTTATGCTACTAGGCTATTAATATTAAAAAAGATGTAATATACAATGATAAATACCAGATAACACATAAATAGAGTAATACTGAATTAATCAGCATAACGGCATCCATTATTACACAAAAAGCACGCATGGTGTTATTCAATTAAAATTCCAACTAACTTTTTTAAAATGCTTGTAATTGTTCCTTATGACGACTATGTTTTCTATTGTTGATTTTTCCGAAAGTTTGACGTACATTTCCAAATTAAATTATGACACAACACAAAAGGAGTTGTTTTTCCGAATATAAAAAATCAACAGTACTAATATTATTACTTTAATAGTCTGTCCTTAACTAATTCTGATCACAGCCATTATATGATTAAAAGTAGTGCGTTATTCCCAAGTGCATTATATATTGTCTACCACACCATACACCACATAAAAATCTTTTTGGACAGTCCTGATCTGTGCTCGTCTCTGGTTTCATAGTATTATATTGAACTATATAATTTCCTTTAAAAATTATATTGAATGTCAGTATTTTATTATTTTTATGTCGAGATATTGGCAATATTTAACGGTCCATCACAATAGCTGACTTTTTGTTTTCATTGTCTAAAGTTATGTTTTATTCATAGCAAATATTTTTCATAAAAAAAGTGTTCAATAAGGAAAGTGATCTACTGCGTGATAATATAGTTCTATCAGGTTTTTTTTATTAGTTTATGAGCAACATACATAAAAAATTTTCAGCGCAATCCCTAACGGGATAAAATTGTAAAACACTATTTACTTAGGGCAATCCAAAAGTAGTGAGGGAGGTATGTTATTTTCTTAGGCAGAGACGTAAAGAAATTTCTTTTTTTACCAAAAGATAGAGCGTGTTTCACTCTATTTTTCTATGCTATTTGATCATTATTAAACTGTTATCATAATAGTAAAATTTCCATAAAATCTGTTTTTGTCACANGTCTTGCTCCCTATGGTATTTTCAATATCTATATGTGGTGCACATCTGGAATAAGCGTCACAGCAAATCCTAATTCTATACAAGCTGTTGTCTCACAACTGTCTGGTCTCTTTATGTGGACCAATTATGCGGTATATGTAATTTCTTGTATAGAAATTGTTCATAGTCTTTGCTTTTAAATTTAGGGTAGTTTCTATGTTTTTCTCATCGCTTCTAGTCGTTTTCGTCGAAGAGTAAAATGTCGGTTCCTTTGTTGGCGAAATAAAAGTAGAATCAAGCCAACTGATCAAATGTAACAATTCTAGACTAAATATTCTCTTACATATATTTGTTGTATCGTATTTCAAATAAAACATCTGATCAGTCATATTCGTGAACGTTTTTCAAGCATTGAGGCAATGAAAGTGAAACACAATAATTTCTTTTTTTCAAACAGGCCAATGTAACATTCATGATTTCGTCTCATAGACTTGGTCGCAATCAGTCGCACTCGTCCAAGTAAAAACTTATATAGTCCATTTTTCACCTTTTAACTCTTTCTATCTCTATCCAGTTTCATAAGTCCTAGGACCTAAAACTTGGTTTACAACATTTGGGTGTGTGTATGTGTATCTGCCGCAGGCCCTAGGTCAAAGGTTAAGTTATATTGATAACAGCAAAACTTCATAAAACATGGTTTTCGAGGGGTGTTGCAGGCGGATGTTGACAATAGAGGGGTAGGATAAGGGTCGGGTCAAGGATCAAAGATCAAAAAAAGATATTCTTCATAATTGCCCAAAACATCGAAAGACATGGATTTCGATGAAAGTTTAGCAAAAACGCCGTATATTTTCCAGATAGCAAACAGAGCTGGGGCATCACGGAGTAAGACTGAGAAAGTCCAGAAAGCACAGCAGCTTTGCGCTGAATATGCCAAAAACGGTTCGGAAAACCAAGCAACGAGTTGTAAGCCGGACAGACTGCCACACTCAAGGAAACACCGATGGACCTAAAGAATGCTCCGAATTTCACAGACACCCAGCGTATCAAGGCACTGACACCAAAATAACCCGCATCTCAGAAAAGACGGCAGAGCTGAGACTAAGTACATACCTCATAAAATATTCACAGTCCACGACACAGAAGAAAGCGATGAGTGACGATCTTCAAGACCGCAGCTCATCGATTCCACCAAATAAAATCCCCGATTAACTACCTCCAAGCGCGACATTATCGTACCTAGCCATAAGACCCCAAAATACCCTCAACACTCCGAGTCGAAAACCATTCCGCTACACCAAACACAATATACCAACACAATTCCCGAGCATTACTGAATCAGGATTCAAAACACGGATCCGGTTGCAGTATCCCGATAGCGTTTCCGTATTTTATTTACGAGCTTCCAGATACGGCTCATATCCAATGTTTTCCGGTCCAGTGGAGAGTAGCCGAAGTCCGGCGTCTCAAACCTTGCACGTATTACAAATGTGATATTTGGATTATCTATCAAAGCATATTAGTCGATCTGTATTTTTCTAAATATATTTAAACTAGAATAAGATGATTTCTTCATGTTTGAGGAATTTTCGGTACTTTTTAAGAAGTTCACTGATTTCAGCATAGGTCCACAGGAAATTCAAGTTATCCTGGTGTACATTTTCACACTTTATTCACTTCTTCAGCTCGATCAACTTCCTTTATTCCATTAACTCCTATTATTCTCTTAAGTAGCTGTGATTTCTTTAGGTTTGATGAGTTGCTTACGTTTACTGGCTATTTTCGCTAATCATGCTGTGTCATTTGTCCTGGCTTTTTTGCTACTACAAGAGAAATCGTAAAAAATCATCGAGCTAAGAAAGGACAAAGAAGAACAAAGAAAAATATATCAACATATAGTACATGTAGAGGATATATCTTATATTTCTACACCTTGTCCGTGTTTTGGGGTTCGATTGGTGTATGGACGATATAGTATTAATCACCAAAGTATTCGAAATAAGTATTAGGATAGGAGCAGGAGTTGGATATTATTTTGTATACGAGCATTTTATGACTGTAGGTGAATAGGTGAGAAGTATCAACTATGATCTTCATAGCGAACACAAATTACTCTCTATGTTGCATCTTTTTTTATTCTTGCTAGTCATGAATTTTTATTTAGTCATCATTCTGCATTATTCCCTCCGCTGAAAGGAGAATGTACACAGAATTTGAGCTAAAATTCGTTCGTCTATTCATGCACTCTACATTGACGAAATAACAACCTATACTACTGACTAAGAAAGCTTAACTAACGAGAGAACCGCCCCGCAAGGTGATTAATGTTTTTTTTTGGAGTTAATGCTTTATTTGTAATTAAACAACCAGTTTACAGGAAAGGAATAAAGAAAAAAAACACAGAACGAAAGGAGAGAGAAGAAAACATACAACGGATTTTTGACTGGTTATAAAGCTGGCAGAAAAAAGAAGAGACGCATGATTTATGTTTTATGTCTCTTAACGGATTTAGATCTCATCTTTTGGTGGTAGATAGTCCTCGATGAGGTATGAAAAACTTCAAGAGGATTCGTGCCCATGAGACTTTTATCTAGAGTTATACATTTTTTACTGAAATTTTCAGAGCATTGTTCTTATGTCTAGACCTATCTGTACCCAAAGATTCAGTTCTAAATACTGGTATTTGATCTGTTGGTAGATGCCTAGCTATATGCAAAAATTTCAGTAAAACATCTATAACTCTAGATGGAAGGCCCATGAGCACGAATCCTCTTGAGGCTTTTCATACCTCATCGAGGACTATCTACCACCAATAGATGGAACCTAAACCCGTTAGTCATCTCGGGCGGTTCTCTTGTAAGTGTAAAACGAACGTGTCAGATGCAGATGTTTTGTTGTGCGAAAAGCATGTCTTGTTGATATATGTTAGTGTTAAAAGGGATGAACAGCTACGTTTATACACATATTACAATTGTAGGCAAGATCGACATAGACGTCAAAAACAAACTTTCTATTTTAATTTATCAACTAGCCCGTTTTCAAAATCGATCAACAGAAAGGTTTCAAGAAAGAAAATGATTGTCATTCAGTTGAAGTTGAAACAACGATGTTGAAGGCGGTGAAACATTGCACAGCAGAGCGTACCGGTCAATGTGTAGATATAGGAAGACGTTGAATGAGTAAAATGTACCAAGAGAACAATCAGGGAATATATCAAATTTTCGATAGTCACACGATATTGACTTTTCGATACATTAACCGTTACACTAACGTATGAACGGTAGAGTCCAAATGGCAAATCCAATACCAAAACGCACGATACTTAAAACAATCAATCCATATTATTTTTATTTCCAGTTCTGTGAAATGTCTTCACTAACCTGAATAAATAACATTCGCGTGAGATTACGACCGTTTTTCCGTGCTAAAACTAATTGTTGTGTTGTTCGAACAGCGTGTTGAAACGAATTTATTGTTGAATGAATGATTCTAGAGCGTGTATTGCGAATAATTAGTATTTCAAAGATGGTGACAACGATACTTGGGAAAACGATATCTACGCCCAAGTATACCCAATCATTAATAATTCAACAGGAAAAATCTGGGCCATAGCAAGAAACAGGGACATTGGGAATTTTTGCTTCCACACAATGGAATACCCCAGTGAAGGCAAATGTAAAGAAAATGAAAATACTCAGGACAACGCATTTTGCTAGTCGATGTGTACTCAGCTGACGATAAGCAACTGATTGATGACTACACAAAAATCGATCAATATTTGCTGCAACAAGAATCCAAATAGCTGATGACCAACTAGTGTTCAGTAAATACCAACGCGTTTTGCAAAGAGGCTAATTTTCATTGGGCCAATTGATGTGGTAACTACAATTTAGGTCTATCATCATACTGACATTCTCCAATTGGTTTTCTTTTATACTTGCCCTTGAAGGACTTGTGTTAATAATCCTAACCAGATAAATACGGTAGCTGATAGTGCAGACCAACAAAGGTAGATTGTACATGGACTCTTTTTGAGAGGACAATCTCTTAAAATACAAATGTTCAATACATTACTGACTGTGCCAAAAAGAATTAAAACGGTAGGTCCATTTCGATTGATTTGCACTGTGATGTAGTTTATGGATGACACCAGATCACTACTATTTGACATTTTTCTGCTTTTGCTTCGAGTAACTTACAAGCAATAAAATACGATTCGACCTGGAAATGTGTCTCCTCTTTTGCCTTTCGACCGTTCATAAAGTACTTTTATCATTGAGTGTGTCCGCGAAGGAAAATATAAGGAAAGCTGCAGACGTCACAGTATGATAGGATTAAAAAATTGATGAGAACGAACACATGGATCATTAGAAGAAAAGAAGTATCGCATGCCGAAAGAAAAAACTTATCTTAGTGATGATGTAACGAATTTTTCCCTGACGTGAGTTGTTAAAATTTTGCAGAACGATGACATAATATGGTAGATACGAACGTCGGACATCATTCGAATAGATCAATAGACGCCTGCTGTGTATTAGGAAAAATGAGGACGACAGTTGTATTATTTTCAGATTATGCGACGCAAATCATGTTATAAATATAGAGAGTTCGATTTCGCATAGGTACTGCTACATGTGTTTATCCAAGCGGCACTCATGCCAAAATTGCCTGGTTGAAACTGAATGACTTGACATTAGTTTATGAGAAAGGTCATGTCATTGAAAAAAGTGTCTTAGAATCGCCTGAGCTACTTCACACTATTATTGTTTGTTTTCATGAATTTCATTACAGTAACAAATTAAGTAGTATACTTGGTCAGAGACGGACAAACGGCATATTTACTAAATTTCGGACTGTGAACAATAGATATTTGAGCAATTTAATTTTTGAAAGCTAGTCTCATTTCCCAATTTCCCTTGGTCGTTCAACTTATCATAAATCAATTCTCTTTTAATCAGGAATTTTTAATTCGAAAAACAGCGGCATGGATATTCATATACATTGCATAATGCATGGAATTTGCGTAGAAGTGTGGGCTGCTTTCTCATTTTCTGATTAGTTTGGTTAAAGTTTTCAAATATTCACTATGAAAATCTCATGAAAACAAATAATGATAAAATATATAATACCAAAGATGTTTTTATATGATTCGACTGATTTCCAAATAATTCATGGACACCTTCCCGTTCAATTTGGTCAAATATTTCACAGTTTCCAGCCCACAAAACTGGCGCGAATTCTTGGAAAGNTGAAACACGCTCTATCTTTTGGTAAAAAAAGAAATTTCTTTACGTCTCTGCCTAAGAAAATAACATACCTCCCTCACTACTTTTGGATTGCCCTAAGTAACTAGCGACTTTGCTCTTGTAAAATATTTCCGAGAAAGCAGAAATCAATTCGACGAAATGTAGTTATACAAATCATTTATACAAACCAAGTAGAGAACCGTTGTAAAAATGGTATTCTTAAAGGATGCTAAAGTATGATTGAAACGAGATCAGTTAGGTTATTAGCGGCGACGTCAGGGGGTGGGGCTGAGCACCCTCAGAATTTTTTGGAGGGGGCTTCGCCTCCTTTAAATGAAAATCCTGGCACCGCCTCTATAGGCTATCCGATCGAGTTCGCGATTGGTAATGAAATCTAAGTAAAAGTCTGGTCTTGAGAAGAGGCTTATAAGAAATGTTGTTTTTCGGCAGATTCGCATATAGCCGGACGATTGTTGTTTATCATACCTATACAATGCACATAATCAATTATTGAATAGATAAATAGCAATTTGAAAACTAGCTAAGATAGCAAGTATGAGCTTTATTTGCACAGGTCGTTTTCTAAAAACACAGAATGCAAAACAAATTCAATAGTTCCAATGATTCATAGTGAGAGAATTCGTGATGTATGGCAAAAGAAAAATTATTGTTATGTTTATGAAACTATTTGTGATTGATAATAGTTCCAGGAAAAGTGTTGAAACGTTCTGCTTTTCTTATGATTACACCAACCATCAATACTATCTGAATCTTTTGTCATGTGCGGAAATGTTGCAAAGAATTTTAAATCGGATAGTGATACATTTAGATGAGCAAAGACGTTTTGTAAAGAAACGACGAACAAGTCGTGAAACTGTGCATGACGAAGTATTGTAAGCTTTTCCGTGTAGCAATTATGACGAGAATGAAAAGTGATTGAACACATAATTGAGTGTATCGTTAATGTCGATGGCTGTTACAATAAAAGATGTTTTAGAAGTTTGTATATATATTTTGTTTCGACTAGAATTGTGTTAACATGATTGTCAGGTGCTAAACAATAGTCGGAGTGTTGATGTTCACATGATCATGAGAAAAGGTTAGGAAAAACATATGGCAATCAGTTCTGGACACAAATGTGATCCTGGAGAGAAGTAAAAAAGGCGATAATTCTATGGAATAAATTAATCAAAAAGAAATAATCCCGGTGTAATTGATAAGGTTAGGTAACTTACACATGGGTAAGATTTCCGTATTTGTGCGATTAACAGTGAAAGATGTTTCGAAACAGTTTAGTTGACATTAGATATTCGTTCTTCATTAGCTTGTCGCGATTAACACAGACGCTTTGATTCTATATTCCACATGCTGTGGACATTTATATTTGTACGAGAAAATCCGGCAGACTTGTTCGGGTTTATGGAACGTGAAGTATTAATCATTCATTCTTTAGATGAAGTGAATATGTGTACTTATATGGATGCCGTCTTCAATTGAATGAAGTATGAATTGCACTGACAAAAGGAAGACGTGCTGGATAATAAAGAATATATATTATAAGAAACAGACTGGATATTCTATATCAAGTTTATTTGTGAGTATTCTGACTAAAGAGCTCAATAACGAAATGTCTGAATTTAGGGAGATTATTTCGTTGATATCAACATAGGTGAAAACACAATTAGTTTAATCTGGGAAAGGTGTCTAAGTGATAGTTTCTTGGAACACTTCCAAGAGATTTTTTATTGCTCATGAGCGTGTTTGATTTCGATGCTTATAATGTTTTTCGTTCGTGCATTGAAATTTACACAGATCGGATTCGAAGTTAAGACAATAATAACTTCTTCGTGTTTGACTAAATCTCGTTCGGAGAGGTCTGAACGATTCGACTGTTGCAATAAACGTTTGACTTTGTTTGGTTCACCGACAAGATCGAAGCATTCTTTACTTTCAGTCCAAACGGTGATGTTGATTTTCTTGTGATTGTTGGTGGACGGACAATTCGTCGCCAATATAATTAATTAGAGGATGTTAATCATGTATGTAAGACAGATGAGTTTCTATACAAAGTCGTCTCGTAATTGATTGTGATTAGTTTTATTGAAAGAAAAGACGACACACAAGAAATATGCAAAAATATCTACAACGACTCATTTGCAGCTAGACCTGCCAAGTATTCACCTAGATCGACGTTGTTGTAATCACTAACTAATCGCGTAACTTTTTCGCCGAGTTTGCGATAAACTACTTTTTTCGGTTTTGGTTCGTGGCCTTGTCGAATTTGGGTAACATCGAACTCGAATTTCGATTGTTCAGTACGGATTTTGTCGTCTTTGGTTTTTTCGACGGTATAAAGGTAACCTTTGTAGCCTAGCATTGGTTTCTTTTTTTACTCATTGTTTTTGTGTAGTCAATTATGTAGATAAGGTTTATTTTATGAATTTGTTCTGTTTTTAAGATCATTTTATACTTTATTTTTTTGGATTAATTGCTTTTTCTTGATCTTTTCGAAATATTTTTAGAGAATTGGTTTTTGCCATCAACAGATAACACAGTGATTTAGCTCGCAATACTTTATTCATTAATAAAAGTACAAATTCAGTCAATTCAATTAAGAAAAACACAAGTTCATGTATAGTAATTACATGGCGACGAATTGTCCTAGTGCCGCTCATTGTTTCACGAACGTTTGAGATAGAAAAGTGAATATTTGACAGGAAAGCACAATTGGTTCTACTTTGTGCGTGAGAATTCATTACGAGAGTTAGGAGAAGTTTCAGATAAAGTTATAAACGTTTAACATCGAATTCGAACGTTTGAGACTAGTTTCAGAAAACGAAGGAAGTAGTGATAATTTATATTCATTACAAACATTTGTAATAGATAAAGGTAGATTTACTAAGGTTTGAGATAGAATTGAAACGTGTTTGACAAATGAGTACAATAAACGAGAACATCAATTGTTATGTCCATTACGAACGTTAGGTAGATATACGTTCGATCGCACGAACTTTTGATGTGCAAATCAAACCTTTGAAAAAGAAATAGAAGTTTTACTAAGATAAAACCATCACAAATGCTATTAAACAATTTTATAGACTTTTCCGATAGTTTAATGTGCAAACAGAACTTTTGACAATGATCTCACACCAAGAAATACTTGACAGTTGCATATATTCACGAACGTTAATATTGATTTATATGAGTTCTACGAGCGTTTGATATATAAACTAAATCTTAGAGAAGACAATGAGAAAATTTTCAGGATTTTTATTTTTCATTGTGATCATTATTCAATTATATTTAACCATATAACTTACATTGAGAATGAGAGATTGATGCAAGAAAAGACTTCGAAATTTTGTAAATAAAAAGAAAATTTGTAAAAACATATTGTTTCCGGTGATAAAGACTACGGAAGTAAATCTTGTAATCCTTTCGTTACACCTATGTCCTCTTAATTGAAGCATTTTTGTAAGAACGAAGCAGACAGAAAAGAAGAATAAGAAAAAAAAGCAAAATAGAAAGTGATAAGGGAAAGAAAAAGATAAAAAAGACTGCAGCAACTAAGTTGTACTCTTCTATTTTTTTCTCCTGTGTATTTCTTTTGTCTAATAAATGAAGCTGGGCGATTTTATCTTTATTTGAAAGTTGTTATTTACTTTCATTCTAACATTTTTCTTTTCTTGGTTACTGGGAATTAATGAATGCGTGAGTAGCAACAAATAACGGACTTTGATTAATTAATTTAAAGTGTCAAAATCCATGTTTTTTTAAACTTTTTTTAGGTTGAGAAGTATTTTAGATTGTCGTGCATGTTTGCGAATAGTTAAGCTGATTACCAGGAATGAATAATGCATTTGTTGTGAGAAATCAAAGCCAATTTATGTTTCTGTTGACGCTAAACCGAAACTATAAGATTCCGGTAAAAATTTTCACTTGAAGTAAACTGAATTGAGTCAAAACTTCTAAGAGTTTAACAAATGTATTAGAATATTACTTTTTAATAGAAGTGGTTCGCCTTGATCTCGAATCGAACTGATGTCATTTTTCAAAAAGGACGGGGGCGGATAAGATCACGAATCAGCCCATTTGTATTTTGCCTACTAGCCCCTTATGAATTTTATACCTTCAGAAAGAGCTCGTTAAGACGAGCATTTTGATATGAAATTGTTGGGGTTTCGAGCAATTTTTCGTTACAAAAGGCTACCGGCAAAAGACATCACTTTTCGACAATTTACTGAAATTTACCTTTTCTTGCAAGCTCTATTTCATAGACAAAGCGCAAGGTTAAACAATGATTAGTTAGTAACTTCGATAGCTCTTGATCAGTGCTCTAATTCTATGTATAAATCATTAGTTCAACATTTATTTTCATAGAAGAAAAATTCGATACAATGAGCATCACTACAAAGATATTCGAAAAGAAAAATTGAAAAGTACCAAAATTCTCATTCAACACGTTCGATAGCCCGTGAAAAAAAACTACTTTTTCCTTGTGTTTCTTTTGGTAAAAAATATGGACACATAGAATTTTTTACGCAGAATTTTCTGAGTATCACCATTTTGCCACCCTTTCCGCTCTTTTACTGCTTATCTCAGGAGAGAACTTTTCCAACTGGCTAACTGGTATTTTAATAAAACATGATGGACCTAGGGGGTATTGACCATATTGATCTCGAATATGGATACGAGAAATTCCCATATACTCTTAGAGGAAGAATTTCTAAAAAACCATGCTTCTGAAGAACTAATTCTTTCCCCAAGTATTGCCTTTTACTAGCTCACATTGTAGAACACATCGAGTTGTGTATAAAATAATGACGGTTTATATTTCGGATCGACCTTTTATACGAGATGTATTCATTGTAATTGATATCAACAATAGATACCATGATATTTTGACATAAAAATGAATAAGTTCATGTTATTTTGCTATAGTACATACACTGGAGAAGTAAAATAACGCTCGTCGAGACTGACTCGCTTGACCCTCGACTGAAATAGTAACTCATCGTATAATAGTTTGCATCCAGATTTCATACCAAAAAAGCTAAAATATCTAATTAGGTTTAGCTTCTCGAGAACTATCCTCCTTTGTCAAAAATTTTATCAACTAATTTCAGGATCATTATCCTTTTTTTTATTTACCGTGCATTTCTAAATCAAGGTCACCGCGAAAACGAAATGATAATTCGCTAAGAGAGTGGGTAATCTGAACTTTGCACCTATGAACGTGTTTTAGTCTTTAACAAAATGATCAATACTGCGAAAGAAGATAGGGTTGTCTATAGATTTGAAAATCAAACTGGCTTGGTATTTCTCATTTGTACAATATAATATGTTACCGGGAGCAGCTCGTCGCTCCGCAGTCCTCGCAAATTCCGATTTTAATAATTTTATTTTATTCATGACGAAGTTAAATTTCACAGTCTTTTGTGGAATAATCAATAAGCACAGGAGTGACGGTCATCCTTTCGTTTCGCTGGCCTATTTCTGAAAGAGCTGTAGCAGTTCTTGAAACAACTCTCAAACTACACCCGGTCTCAATAGGAACCTGGATCAAGGGAAACGTTTTGCATAAAACTTCTTGTATATGTTTTTCGTCTCTTCATCACTTCGAAATATCTTTAAATCATTTTTTGAAAGGGAAAAGTAAGAAAAAGCACTGTTGGTAAAGCTTCACAGATTTAATCGCTTGGTACTGCTAAAAAAGGCATCACTCACAGCTCTTTTTGTTCGTACAAGCCTCTTAAACCAACGCCAAAGCGCTCGCCGGCCTCCCTCGGATCGGACACTCACGGCTAGTCGCTTATATGCACGCCTTCACTGTTTTATCTCTTTTTGATTCATTTTCGAAGCGAATAAATGAAATTCATTTTAACTACTTTTTGAAAAAGAACTCACTTTGGGTTAATGTGATTATAGGAAGGGAACTGTAGAGACTTTATGCTGTTTTCTGAACTGCTATAGCTCGAATAGGTTAGTTTTTCAAATGTTCGGAATACTATTTACATATTTTATGCTTAGCTGAGTCCAACAGTAGGACTACGAACATGCACTTGTTTTTTTTTCATGTAGATCTATTGAAACCTCAATGAGATAATCTAACATATAGTGATCACCGATACAGAAACTACTAAGCAGTACTCGTATAAGTCTCATACTTATTCTATAGTTTACTTAAAGTGCGTTTTTTTAACCAATTTATCACTAAGTTTTATATTAAGATGTCGTAAACGATTCTGTTTGCGCACAAAGACGAAACACCAATCAGTTCATTAGCTTCCATTACAAGAGCAGAAAGCCAAAGGGTCTTGGAAGAATCAAACAGAGAGAATTGTGGTCAGATTTGAGGCGATTGCTATCGATAACTATTGATCAAATTCAAACAGATGCTCGTGCATTTTAAGGTTCTTGATGGAAACAGAAGGACCAATATAGGCCATGGAAAATGATTCACAAAAAACTAATACCTGATTCTAGATCCTTGACATCGATTACCTCTTGTTTCACTTCTTCACGTCACCTAGATTATTTTTCACTATTTTAGTGAGCACTGATTTTTCATTGGATAGGAGAGGCAAACTTTTTGCATGTCAAGCTGGTGGTTTTAACGTTGCATAAATTTTTGTTTCAGAAAAGGGAATGAACTTATCATGGCAGTGTCATTCCACAATTCTATGACCATAATTTCTTTTCTCTCCATTTACACAACAAAGGTCAGCTCAAGTCACTCTTCATCCTTAACGTGTGGTTTGTGACACGAAGTCATAAAGATAACTTAGACAGTATTTTCATTCTTTATATTTCATTGTTGAAATGGATAGTGCGATGATTCTTGATGCAAAAGATGTGTACGCCAGGGTCCGGCGGGACTGTCCCAATCCCATCGGGTTCGGGTCTAGGATCCCGAGCCAGACGGGATAGAGATCGGGACGAGGATGAAAATTTTCCGGACATACTTATTCATTTCATATCGAAGTATAGCATTCTTTTAAAAAGTTTTGTTATAATCTTCAGTGTCAAATACTATTAGAAAGAGGTCGGACGTGGAGGAAAAATAACTTCTGCCTGGATAATAAAGACGTGTATAGTGATACGAACTAAATGTTAGATATCATGAGAAGAGTGTAATATATATTATTCTCGGTGGTTTGATCTTTCTTTCCTGGTCCATATTCATTCGTTCTTATTGATCTTGTCTTAGTTCAATGTTGATCAAAAATTCATAATAACATGGAATGATATCGAATGATGTCTCATTTGATCTATATTTGAAAAATATGCCTGACAGATTCGAAAAAACAGGTTTAAGCGGGACTGGGACGGAGCTCGTCCAGTTGTAACAGGGTCGGAACAAAAAGTCTTCGTCCCGCTGGACTCTAGTGTATACTGATAGCACAACGTTTTAATTTATTTCTTCCTTCCAGACCGCAGCGCCTTTGTAGAAAACACGCGTTTAGATACTTCTCCATTGATAAAAAAACAAAAAGAAAAAGAATGCTAAAGTGCATTAATATCTAGTGAAGTATGGTCACATAGTATGTGTACTCCGCATATACGTGAGACTGTCACAGAGAGGCACTCAGAAAAACATCTGCATTTCTATCATCTGATATTGCTCACATTCAAGAATACTGATAATCAATTCAGAGATGGGAACTCAGGGAGTATCCAGCTCTAACTCCACTCTAACTCCGGTCAAAAATTCGCCAACTCTGGAGTTAACTTCATCTCTGAATCAATTATTGATTTCGAAGCAAACTTCTGCCGCAAGGAGATTCTTATATCATAATCCCCTCTACACGTTTCGCAAAACACTCTTATGGAAAGAGTACACAACTAAAAACTACTAAATTATGACCGACATATAAGCTGCTACAATACGCGAGTCTGATGGAAACATAGAAGCACGAGAACGGATAGAAGTCTAAATTCAAGAGAGATCTAATCTACTTTTAAACTTTCTTTAGAATGAAATGCTATCGGGAACAGCTAGTCATTCTTCGTGGCCCTTGTGGGACGCCACTCATGACCAGCCGCTCCGAAACCGTCATTCCCATCATGCAACCGAGCGTCTTCGTACTCTAACGACAACGAAAGTGATTTTCTCTTTTTCGACCTCATTCGCAAATTTCAAAGTCGTCAATACTCGGTTTGCTCCGCTTACAGCTGGAAAATCCGGCAGCTAGAGATTTTCACCATACTGCTCGATTTACCCACGCAGTAATATGTTTTTAGTAAATTGATGGAGCAACTTTTAATACAAAAGCCAAAAATATCACTTGATGTACAGCTTAAAAGGGTATAGGTAGCGCCTAACGAAGATCTTCAAAACACTAGGACAGCTTCTTAGCCCTTCACGACGGTATTGTTTTCGAGAGTATCTTATGCGAAGAACAAATTTTCACAATATGTATATTCTTCTACTTTATTATGTCTTGTATTTGTTCCTATCATAGCCAAGTACTTGGAGAGGCGTGTCATTACCACAATTATATTAACACACATATCCAACTGTATCTGATTCTTAGCGACAAACGTTCCTTCGTCAATAAACAACCAGTGGCCATTATAGCATCCACCCATCCTGGAAAAGTGAAAGCAGCATAGAAACGCTAAAAGAGCCTGCGTTGTATGTGAATGATGTTTCATTAGCGCTAAGGAAGTATCTCGTCTTTTTAACCAGTTAGAAATCACCTTCTCTTGAGAATTCAATGGTATCCGTGATACAGGACTTGAACACTCAGGAGCACTACTATAGCCACTAGAGGGGCATACTATGACGAGCGACCGACAAACGCATATGTATTCGATTTTTCCGTGACCTTTTTGGATATGACCCTCCTCTCAGTCGAGGTAACAAAAGACTATTGATTTATACACAACTTGATGTGCTCTATAATGTGAGCTAATAAAAAAGAATACTTGTAACAACAATTGGTTCTCCAGAGTCATGCTTTTTTTTTAGAAAATCCCACTTTAAGAGCCTATAGGGGTAGTTTCGATATGGGTAGGTCCACTATGCTTTATTAAAATATCGATTAACCAGTTGGAAAAGTGTCCCCGTCAGAATAAATAGTGAATCTTATACCAAAACAGATTGCAGATTCGGATTTAGCGAAAAAAAACTGAGTAGGACCATATATATTTCAAGCGATTTGCAAATGTTTCATTTTCTCCAGTTATCAAAACTAGCGTTATTCAGAAATATTCAATCCGTCATATTTCAACAGCATGACTGGCGGGCATCGGTGTGAAGCTAGCGCCATTTGGCTATCACCACGAAACTAAGAATATTGCGAAAATGAAATTCCGTCCGTAAAAACTAGTCTATTCGATTCAGAATTTAGTTTTGTATTGAACGGTGCCGCTTTTATTCATGGACAAACGAATGGAAATATGTACTTATTGAACAAAAACTAAAAATCGAGGGAAGCTCCGCCTCAACCGTTTGTGCGTGAATAAAAGTGGTACCGTTCGATGTAGGATTCAATTCTGAATCGAATGGACTATTTTTGATGGACGGGAATTCATTTTCACAAAATTCTTAGTTTCGTGGTGTCACCTTCACACTGATGCCTGTTTGAACCTCTGATACATACGTAAAACTAAAATCACAAGTAAATTTATTCTCGTAATCTATTTTCTTTTTTTTTCAACCTATCTCGATCATAATCGAAAGTCATATGTATTTTTCTGTTTATTGCGATTTAAGTTGCGTTGTTTTTTGCTGTGTACATATGTATAGAAAACAAAGAGCAAGCCATTCATTGCATTTATTATATTAAAAGAACACTGGTTTTATTCAACGTATTCATTGAGTGAAATAATTCTATTTCAGATAATGATTTCTATTCTATATACCATCTTATTTCTTCTTGGTAAATTCCGAATAGATGCAGAGATATCTGTATGTGCTGGAAAAAATGCAACTAGTTCATATGTTGTTAACTATTGCGCAGAACAAGGTGGCGAAATTAAACTTCGATGCTGTCTTTCATCTGAAAACGATACATTTATAGCGATTGATTCGACAGACTCAGATTACACTTCAGTTCCTGATTTCTTTCAAGATATAAATTTCAATTTAAGTGTGGTTGATTTGCGTTCAAATCCTGAACTTACACCAGCAAATAAAACTGATTTTCTTACTTTGCAGTATCTTAATACGCTTATTTTACCTGAACAATTTGATTGCCCAGGCGGATATGATGTATGGGAGAACATTACGAAAACAAATACAAATGATTCATTGCCAGTTGGGAATCTTTGTATTGGGCAAAAAAATTATTGCTCAAATGCAATAGATGTATGTGTTCAAGAAAACTCAGATTGTATTCCAAATGGACCAAATTTTTTTCTATGTTTATGTAAAATTAATTATCACGGTTACAAATGTTTGCGATATGGAAACTTTCCAAGTGGAATATTTTTTGGCACAACTGCTTGCGTAACTATTGTTGCGAGTGCCTTGCTTTATTGGACACAACGACGACATGTTAAAAAATAAATTTTCGTTTTTTTTCACTTGGCACACACACAATGCAATCCCAGAACTTTTTATTCCCTCGACTGAAAGGAGGTTCATGTCGATAAAAAAATGGTAAAAAAACTAAAATTCGTTTGAGAGTGTGTGTTTGTCGCTGGTCAAAGGTCAACTTTTAGTGATATGATGAAAACTATATCAAACATGCATTGGGAGGGGTGTTGAGGGTTGATATTCGTTGTAGAAAGCATCGATGTTAGCGGCAATAGCGAAGGCGGTCGAAGGACGTCTGAGCGATCGAAGAGAATTATGCACACGTGGTATACATTTATGAGTGTTACAGTAGCTACAGAGAATCGATGTAGTCAATCAAAAGCGATGCAGGATTTGAAAACATTGAAAACGACCTCGAAGGTGGATCAGAGTGAAAGGATGAGTAAACGAGAAGATATAATATATAGGCTGACGTGTGAGAGTGGCAATGAAGTCTATAAATGAGCGACTGGAATGGAGAATAAATATCGGAGTAAACAAAAATTAATCAAACTCCTATTGCAGAAATCAGATTCAGTAACATCTTTGCATAGAAAACTGCAACCGAAGCTACCGTGTTGTGCAATGGAAAACCGAAAAGATAAGGAGCGCAAGTGTAGAAATTTTAAGCATATTGATTTTTCTACCCAGTAGAATTTCTCCGTATGTCATGCGTTCGTCATAGATATTTCGTATTTGTCATCGAATACCCACGCTAATGGCATATAATGAAAGCGCCTAAATACCTGCACCAGAATTCCTGCTTTAAGCAAAATCTCAACTGTCGCTCAGAAAGCTCTTTAAAACCATTCCGTATCACAACCGAATGTCCCCGCAGTTCCAATCGCTCGGCAGCCTGAACGAGTAATACCTGCATATTCATGAAAAACCCTCTCTTATACAACCACTGCTTACTATGTCGGCCATCATCTCTTACAAATGCATGAGAAATAGCACAGATCTTGATTCGCATGGAACCAGACGATCACACAAGAGAAGCGATGAGTGGTGATCCGCAGAATCGCCACTCATCGCTTGCATCACACAACCTTTGACAAGGGCTATTGTATGAAGAAATATCCTCAAGATAATTCGGAAAAACCAAAACTTCTTGCAATCTCAAAATCAACCCAATTCCAAAACACTCGAGCAGATTCCTACATATACACGATCAAAACAAAATCTTCATTCATATCCAAAGAGTAAAAGCAACGATCCTCACAGTTCCTCGCTGTCTCATTCAATGAGCACAGCAATTCCTTATTCACTGATAAAAAAAAGCGTAGAATGATAAACCTTTTTACCATTTATCAAAATGCAACGATAGAAATACCCTTCGGCACCGTTTATCACACTATGTTAAACTCTTTGATCTACTAATTAAAACAGTGAATAAAACGGTTTATCAAAACCAAATACTCGTTACAGAAGAGTTTATCGAGCCGTTTATACGTTTCAAAAACTATCAAAGGGTATTTCTATCGTTGCATTTTCCTAAACTCTTACGAAGGGTTTTTCATATTCCAAAACCATTTTATTTTGGAACACATATTCGTTCATCAAGGGGTATATGAAAATTAGATGCTGTTATTTTACCGTCGGTGTAACTGATCAACTCCAAAAAGGTCAGACCGAAGGGTATATCAGACGGTTAGTCACTTCCATGTGCTGGACAAAGGTAGACCGAAGAGTATATCAGACGGTTGGTCACTTCCATGTGCTGGACAAAGGTAGATCGAAGAGTATATCAGACGGTTGGTCACTTCCATGTACTGGACAAAGGTAGATCGAAGAGTTGTTTCGAGCATTCAACACGATGAATGCATTATATCAGAATTGCACTGGCGCATCTGCTCCTCTATAAACACATGGAGCAAAAAGGTAGAAAAGAAAGAACGGCAAAGCCGAAGCTAGGAATTGCAATCAACGCAATAGCTCGAAATACTCAGCTATAGACTTAATGAAAACTCTTACATAAAATACGAAGAAGAATGTTGTTTGACAATCTTTTAGATGGATATAACTACTAATTAGTATGTAGAGGATATATTCGCGGCCTAGAGACTAGAGAGTTCAGCTATTGATCGCATAAGGAAAAGTACAAATAGTAAGAAAATGAAAGGGATCTCATGAGCGACGATAAGAGAGGCCAAGAAGAGGTCAGAAGTACATGAGAGAATAACAATATACCTATTTAGCAGCATCACTAGAAGTAATGATATTGAGCGCGCACATGGATACTATAGCATGTAACACGTAGAAACCTCACGTAAGCACATTGTGTTAACAGTGCAAAAAATATTGAAGTGGAAAAGATGTGCAATATGTGGATGACAGTATGATGGAAATAGAATAATATAAGCGACTGAGGAAAGGAGTAAAAGAAGTATCATGTCGCACGTTACTCAAAAGATAGCGACGGTGAATTTGAGTAATCTCTCAGAAAAAGAACAGAGCGGAAAGGCATTTATTGCGCACTCTGAAGATCAACAGATAAGGTTAATGAAATCAGACAGCTAACAGAAGAACAAAAAGCTCGAAAAGATATCTCACCCTCAATATTATGCACCATATGGTGCGGACAATTGCATGCTCGATCGAAGGAAATAAAGAGGAAAAGAAACATATCGCTCACCGTGTCGTCGAATGCTTCATGATACTGGAATTGGAAAACTAAAACCGGAACGGAAGAGGAAAACAAGAAATAAATTGCTTAAAATGATTTGGTGAATAATTTTGTTCAAGTTAAATAGCGAGTTCTAAATGGAAAAGGAATGAAAAAGTGTAAAATAATACAAACAAGACTTGCTTTGTTGTTCATCGATGCTTGATATTAGAATTGAATGATGAGCAAAACAACACAAATAACTTGACAAGTTATAACCACATAATAGATCGTTCGATGCAGGATATGGTTTAGTTTCAATAACTGATTGTAAATTAAACGAAACGTAGAAAAGAAACAAGAAGTGATGTAACACTTACTATGTTGCTCGATTCTTGATGTTCTTTCAACCGAATAATAATTGAGGAATCGAAATAATTCCTGGATAAATACATTTAGCATCAGATAAATTGACTTGCTAAGTACAGCAGAGGAAGCAACAGAAAAAGTGAAATGTTATACATTCCTCACCATATCACCCGATAATTCATGTTTTTTATTTCGACGATTAATGGAACGATGAGACATCTTGATAGATAAATGTCGCACAACGTAAATCGATGGATGATATTGCTTGAATTGAATAACTAATTGAATAAAAATAAGCACAATAAAATATAAATAATTTCTCATCATAGTACTCGATATTTAATCTTGTTAAACTTGGGTGAATAATAAGATCAGATAACTAAATAGTAAATGAGTGGATCAATGATAAAGTTTAAATTGAATGATTACTTACAAATGAAAAAAGTGACAGCTAAATGACAAGCCACTTACCATGTTACTCGACGGTTGATGCCGTTGTATAGGGTGGCTAATAACAAAACTGATCAAGTTGAGATAATATACATCACGCACAAGGCAGTTTGATGCATGATATTGTTCCAATTGCAAAATCAACTATAAAAGAACAAGACGATAAAGCAAATAGTAGTATAACACTTATCATGCTCTTGTAGAGCCATGCTTTTCGAATTGAACTGTTGGTTCAGAAAATAAAGACAAAAAAGTATTTACTTATTATATTAGTGCGTGGTCGATGTTCACTGAATTGCATAAAATGATGGGAATAAGAAAGAAGAAAACGAAGAAGGATGGACAAAAAAATCTTGTTGAACGTTGTCACTTGAAATGAAAGGTGATTATTTTACATTTGGGAGACGTTCTACATTAAACAAAAGTGATATCATCTATAAATGTTGAGTGAACTTACGATATTGTTAATCGTCAAAAGTACTTTTAAAAACATGACAATCGCACTGCTAATGAAATCGAATTGCTTGTGATGCATAGCTAATTCTAAAGAAAAAATTCAATGGTTAGATCGAGAATGGAACTTGATCATAATCTGAAAAATGTTTTCCAGTTAAAAATTCTTAGTGATATATGGTTTATTCTATTAAAAACTTGAGAATTCGGCGTAAAAATGAATGTAGAAATTTCAAGTAAAATATGCTTTGAGAAAGAAATAACTTTTTCTTTAAGGAAAGCGTGTCTCTTACTTATTAGATCAACTTGAATTGTCAATAAAATAATGTGGTTTTTAATACCCATTGAATGAAATAGGAAACATAATTGTCGAGATTCCTACTGGAAAACTATCATCACCATCGATAGACAGAAATGTTGTGCACTCTTGATTCGGACTTGTGCAATTGCGATGAAAACAATTGATTCCTGAAAAATTGAAAAAAATAGAGATATCATGAACATCTATTTTTTCAGTATGCTCTTATATGAATAGTCTCGCAGCATGACTTACCCGATATTGTACTTCTCAATCGGATCAAAGGCTATCAGATCGACGAGTGTTCGCTCAATACAGTATATCGTCCGAAGAGTTGGACCATCTATGTTGTATTCTATAGATGAATAAGAAATGATTACATTTCAGAGAAATAATGTACAAAAATATCTTTTTATATTTGGAAACTTTAAATAGATGAATTCTAGCAGCTAGGGGAAGGTTTTCTGCCTATTGTATAAATAAAAAATATTTAAAAAAAGGAGGATAGAGTTTATTTCACGCAGAAGCTTGTTGTTTTAGTTTCAGAACCGTTGGAAAGTCTAAGTAAGGGCAAAACTATTACTCGTTGTTTGGTTTATTCCGAACCTTGTTATTGTTAGGAATTTCCTATCACGATTAGCGACTGATTGAATAAAATCAGCTTTAGATCAATATTGATCAAGGAGATCCTCAACAGAAAAATACACAATTTGCGTTGCTCATCTTTAGATCAGTGGATTTGTCAATTCGATATTTTCTAATTGTAACTTTACTGATCAATGCTGATCTTTTATTCTACCATTATGAGTTGAATTTTGTCTTTTAGAATGATAGAGTCTTCTCCTCTAATAAAGCTTGCATGTGATCTTATGATGTTACTAGATAGCTCCTAAAAATTTTCACGTAATCGTAAGATGAAGGAAACAAACACTCTTGATATCCATCATCGATTCCAAGGCTTCCTCACCATCAATTAAACTGAATGATGATGAAAATTTATAAAATACCGCTTCCTGATCATCAGCTGATAATGTTAATTGGAGCTAATTGTCAGCGGAATTCAATGCATTATATCACCATTATTTGTAAAACGTTTCCAACATCTAAATCTATTTTCTTTTACTGTTGACTACCAATATAAATTGTATTTAAATTGTTTAAGAGTTTCTATCTTATGAAATTTATTTGAATGTTGCCGAGACATAGGAGATTTACATGCAGATTGTATTCGATATAGAACACTACATGCATTATGTAAATCACAAGTAATTAAAAAATTGGTATCGTTTTATGATGAAGTGTTATGTGTATAGCCACTTTTACAAGGCTAAAGACATTTCGATCTGTTGAAAAGCAGAGAAATAAATAATAATATTAAGTTTTCGTATTCAATGCAACAGATTGATATGAGTATAGTCATTAGATTTTATTGACTAGCTGAATTAATATACATTCGCCTTTATTTTTTCATATCATCAGCATTTATTGACCGAAAGATAAATAAAAAGGAATAACGATCATGAAAGAATATATTGCACATTCCGTAGACTATGCAATTCTTTCCTTCCACATAACGCATACAATCCTTACTTCATTTGTAGAACAACATTAGAAAAAAGATTCATCTGGTAGAAAGTCCATCATCATCTCTACATAGTGTATCTCATATATGGATATCTAACACGCATAACGAGATACTTTATAGAAGTAAATACATAGGTCTAGCATAAAATATTGAAAAACCGTGCATTCCTAATGATACATAAACAGACTAATCCTCAAACTGAGATAGAATGGAATCATTATTAAAAGATAATCTACGCCACTAAACGACTTGTTCACAGAACCAGTTCACACTTCATCCACTCAATTATCTTATGACAAACCCTTCTTACAAAACTGTAGAAGAATCAATACATATGCGTAAAACAATAAATTCCCGGAAATCGAGAGATAAAAGAGCCAAATCTTGTGTGTACATGAATAAAGCTTTCTAATAGAAGCGTAGAAGAATAAACCTTTTCAATCGAAGGATGGAAAGATCAATCCTCGTCTGTAGAATGATAAACCTCGTCTATAAAGGTATACAAGAATCGATCTTAGTGCGTACAATAATAAACATTTTTAACGCAAGGGTAGAAGGATCAACCCCTATCCGTAGAATGCAAAACCCTTCCAACACGCCAGCAGAAGGATCAACCCTTTCACGCATAATAATAAACCTCTTGAACGAGAGAGTGTAAGAATAAACCTTCCTTTGCAAAGAAAGAAGTTGAATCAACTCTTAGGCGATGAACGAAATACCCTTGCTAATGGAAAGGTATCGAACATAATTTCTCAAGGGCAGTACTAAACCTTTAGATTAAGAAGTGGATGAATCAATAGCGAAACGTAGAATAAGAAACCCTTTGGAAAATCAGATAAAAGAATCTACCCTCAGGCGTAGAGTAATGAGCTTTTTTCCGAGGGGTAATAAAATCTCCCTCGGAAAAACATGCTGATATACCCTTTTGACGAAAAAGTAGAATAATAAACCTAAAAACGAATAATACAATACCCTCATCATGAAAGCAGACCTCGCTCTACTGTCATCCGTTGAAGAACATACTTGCATCTTAAAATTAAAGAAAGAAAAACCTTTCTATAGCGTTATAAACCCCTTGAGTTTTTATAAACGCTTACGCTTATAAATCCTTTGACTGATCAATTCTCAAATGGTTTATCACATCGAAATAAACCCTTTAAGGATTTATTGGCAATTTTTTAAAGGGCAAGGGTAGATCATTATCCGGATCTTTTTTTCAGTGTATGCATTGGTCGAAATAGACAAATCAAAAATTGAATGTCATCTTAAAAATCTTCAACCAAAACTTATTCCAATACCAGTGATGGAACAAACATTTCAGGTTGACATTTCTGACATTATTCCGAAAATAAACAACAAAAAATCAAAAACAAATAGAAAGGCAATGCTATCGATTAAGCGACACGCATTACCTCTCGTGCCCGCCTATTCTATCACAACGCATAAAAGTCAGGGACAAACTTTAAACAAAGTTGTCATTGATTTGAAGTTACTAAAGGATACAGATGATATCGCTGCAGTCTATGTACCATTATCAAGAGTCAAACGTCTAACTGATTTGATTATTTTGCGACATTTCGATTACAAAATCTCACTGATCAAACCCAGTAAATCTCAAGTCGCCGAGATGGAAAAACTAGATAAACTCTTTATCCAAACACAAATGCGTTTTTCCGAATGGTTTAAACAAATTTTACAGAACATTTTAAATTTCCATTACTCGTCATCCATTTTTCGCCTGTGATTTATTTGCATCTTTTGTAATTGAATAAATCTTCATTACAATTCAAACTTGTTTCTATTCATTCTTTAGTTTGTTTGTAAATATAAGTACAAGTTTTCTTTCCAATTTTTCTGTAGATTCGTTTTTTGTTTCGCTGGTCTAATTTGTATTTGTCTATATTAATCAATATCCACTTCTTTTTTTTCTTTTCTTTTGTGTAGCAGATCATTATACCATTAGCATGTCTTTACTTCATAGAGAAATAAACAAATACAGTTCATATTAGAAAGAATTTTTCTCAACTAAAATAAACAGAAAATAGAAAAACAAATATCAATTTGATATCATGTTGATATTTTCAGTCGAGGGTAATGCGAGTCAACCCAGACGAGCGTTATTTATTTAAGTATTCAATTGTTTATTATTCATATAATGCTTGATAATTCGAGAGTAAGCAAAATTAGATAACTATGCAAAGCAAGAAAATATACAATGGGAATAACAGTTTACCACTTTACAGAAAAATAAGCGAAAAGCATACGAATTATACAACAATAAGTAGAGTCATATAATTTTTAGAGATAATTATTGAACGCGAAATTTTTGAACCCTATGGTTATTTTGATCTGTAACATATAGATAAGTTTCGGTTGGATCAAGAGCCACATCACCTGGATTATATAGAAGTTGAGTAGTATTACCCGATGTTCCACTTACACTACCAGCTACAACCGATCCTTGGGTAGCGCCAATTGTCCATTTCATAATTCGGTTATTAAGTTTATCAGCTATGTAAAGAGTTTGACCATCACGTGTAAGACAAAATCCTGTAGGACTGCTCAACTGATTCAAACCAGTACCTGCACTATTACCACCTGCTACTGTCACGCCTGTTCCGTTACCACTAATGGTAAACTGCTGGATGCGATTGTTACCGGAATCAGTAACATATAATAAACCTCGATCTTCATCTAATTGAACATAACGGACCCCCGACAGTTTAGTACTACTACTACCTGCACTTCCCATTTGTCCAGCAACGACTGTTACAGTAGTAGCATTCGGTGCCAGTTTTACCACAGCAGAACACGTCCACAATCCTATATAGATATTACCAGATCGATCCACTGTTAAACCATAAGGCTTGTAGAGTCCGTTGAGTAAGCAAGACGCTGTCGATAGTCCCGCAGTTGGAAAACTTTTGATAATAGTCCCTCCTCGTTGGACAAGCAGAGTGCCACTATTAAGCGATCGATCGATCATATAGATAGTATTCGAATTGTCAACAAAGATATCCATAGGTTCACTAGTGCCACTTGACAAAAGTACAGTTTCTTTACGCGAAAATGGTGAAAAAGCTAGAAAAGCTGGATAATATTCGTCGGCAACGTATACAGTTCCATCCAATGGAGAAACATAAATACCCCAAGGACCATTTAATTTGGTGGCATTACCACTAGTACCACCATTACAATAACCAGCCACTGTTTGGCCAACACCTATGGCTGGAACTACAACAACAAAGAAAAAAATATATATATTATACTAATAACTATTTTACAATTGAAGCGATCATGAAAGTAAAATTCAATTGACTTACGAAGTGAACATCGATATGTAAAATCGCAACTTGCTTGACAAGTGAGATTAAGATCTGATCGACATACATTTGCCTGTGAACAAGTTTGATTTTGAAGAAGTTGTGGTAGACATATTGAGCCATTCCAGTATGTGTTAATAGAACATGTTGTTGTAGTTGCTGTCGTAGTTGTTATTGTAGTAGTCACAGTTGTTGTGGTTGCTGTAGTTGCTATTATAGTTGTTGTAGCTGTGGTAGATGTTATTGTAGTTGCTACAACTCCTGTAGTCGATATCACTGTAGAGGTTGATGATGATGTCGTTGCAATTGCTGTTGATGTCGTCGTATTTGATACAGTCATTGTTACTCTATGTGGATGTGTAAACAATAATATTTAGAAACAAACAGTAATTCAACTATTTATCCTAAGAGATAAACTCTAGAACTAGTTATATTGAAACCGTTTTTTATCTTCTGTCTCTGCATCTGTCTGAGAATGTAACGGATATATAGTCTGTTAGGTTTCTAACACATTGAGATTTATCCTAAAATAACTTTTGTTGCGCAAATTTGTATTAGTAAACAAATCCGATATGTATAAGTAACTTTATTAATCCACATAAAAAAAATATTCTTGGGTATTTTATCAACAAATCTTTCTCATTGAAACTACTCTTATGGAGAAATGAGGCATATGGGAAACAATGTTTTCTTATTTGTATAATAATAGTCGAAAGTTAAATTCTACTGTTTGAGATACATTTAAACAACGTACCATCATGTAGCTCTTGTTCTATCACTTTCCTAAACATCTCTAAACCATCCCTATTGTAATTGACTGACATAGTGGAATAGTTGAATTGAGCTTACGAGCATCACATTTGTATCAAACTACTAATGTTCAAAAAGACTATTTTTGGCTTCGATTACAAAGGCCACAAAAAATTTGTGAAACATGTGATTCACATAATGATTTTCCAGAGGCAATATATTATATCAAAGCAGTAACTCAAGAAGATTTAAATAATAGATGAATGTATTACACTAAAACATTCGATCATGTAAGGTCTTCGTTATGTCACTGCTTTTATGGCTAGACGTACTATCATTTCTACTTACATGGATAGTGTGATGCTCGTCGCCATAGCTAAAACAAAAATAAATAATTAATTAATTAAATTGAGATACTTCTCTCTGTATATATATATTTACTATAATCGCGGTAGTAGTCGGTGTGATCTGAGAAACTTCTATATTTTATACCTTATATGTTTGAAAATAATGAGAAATGTAGAAAGTAGTGTTTCTGAAATTTTTGTATTTATTGTCGCAGCGTGTTTCGCTCTACACATCAAATATAGGCGACTTGGGCAATACATTGCCCTAACTACATTCAAATTCATCTATTTTCTGCAAGAATTCATCTCTAGTTATAACTTCAACATCAATTTCATCTGATTCGCTAGGGGAAACACTAATGATACAAAACATTTGTATTTATTTACTTCCAAACATCTCTTTTCACACAACAATATCAGTCTATATATAATCACGTGTCACATCATTTATTTCATTCGAGATTATCTGAGAAGTTCAATTTAGATATATTTCTATAAATAGATAGTTCTCTTCAATGAATACAACGCCTCTTTTAATAAATATATATCAAATTATTACTTACAAGTTAATAACTGTTGATCATTAACAGTAATGAAAGTGACAAAATTTGCTTGTGCTATTAAACTACCATATTGATTTGAAGTATCAATAAACAGTTCACATTGATTATTAAATAGATCAAATGTTATTATATGACAATTAGTATTTGTTAAACAAGTAATTTGACAAGATCTCAAGTTTGATCGAGATATGATCATTGGAGTTGAACAATTTGAATTGACACACTCATATCGAACATCATTTATTTGAGATAATAATAATGTGTTTATATTGTGTGCATTAGATTGTGTGATAATGATTATTAACAGAAGTAACATAATTATATGTTGTTGCATATTAGATAAATGTTTAAAAAAAACCAAACAAATGACTTTCTTTTATAGGAGAGAGAGAAAG